TCATCCACCTAAGTAATGACATTTCCATGAAACGCATGCCCAGAATTCAAGTTTGTGATCGTACAGACAGAAATTTTATTTTCCCCGTGACCAATGTCGTCCATGCCTTGTGGCTATATAAATAGTGCTTGATTTTATCTAAAGGCAAACAATATCCCATGATAGTGATAACGTTTGACCAAAAAGCAATTAGAACCCTTCTACTGCCATAACGATGGTCGTTTGAAACTAAGGAAGTGTGATTCAGTTACCCAGCAGAAGGTGAAAGCTATACACATATAACTCAAATGTCTCCCAGTCATAGTTTACTGTGCTTTATGCACTTTGAATGTTCTTAGGCCCACTAAGTCTGGAGATTTGAGGATACTTCTTTAATAAAACATCACTTATCTAAGAATATGTTCCTTTTACATTGACAAACAGGTTTATGGAATCTAAGGGATCTATCGGAGAACTTTTAACGTATTTAGACCTATCATGATGTCTTTAATACATTTTTGGGTTATATATTTATATCTATTTACTGGTGTTATCTTAACGAATGCCGATCTTGCAACCCCAACCCCCTCCACTCCACCATACAACAAACCCACACCAAAAAGTCTAAAATCAGGATAGGTCTAAATACACTGAAGTTTTCAAGTCTCTACACATGTTACAGAATTATAGTACATAACGGATTCCAGATTGTCATATCAGACTATTAACCATATATAATCAAAACAAATCAAATTATTAACATCAACAGTACAACATTTTTGTATGAACATAACAAGCTCTACACGAGTACCTCAGATTAATATATATGCTTTAACAATAGATTATCACACTGAACTGTGTCACAATCAAAGTCAGTATAGCATTTACACTAAGGTTGCAGTCCAAAACATGAGATTAGATTCCACAGAGGGAAACAAAACTAGTAAGGATATGGCTGTCCTTAGTGAAGAACACACAGGTAATGTACTCATCTTTTATTACATTATAATGTTAATATATGAGTGTAGTGGCAGACAAGCTAAAGCCAGTACCTTGTCGTCGTGACTTGGTTTGTTTAAACCTTAAAGCTGACAGTGCTGCTTAATAAATCGTCATTAATCTTCCATGAACTGAGGATATTTTCAATACAGGGGATATCCCAGAGTAATTCTGGAATTGGGTCAAACATTTTTTTCAATATCAATGTGACAGTTTCATTATATTGTCAGCTTTCATCATAAGCATGCCTATTGTAGAAAAAAAATTATAATCAAATTCAGGTAGATAGGAGTAGCTTCCCTTGTGTTATATTGCATCATCATCATCTAATGATTACCAGTATATTGTGTGTTAATGTATTTTGCCTTGTACCACTGTGATGTTATGTGTGGAGGTGGACTTAAATAGACCCTGCCTGATGTTTTATCCTTTTGTCATATATGTGTCAATAAAACTGAAATAAAATAATGTGGAAAGGTCCTTCTGCAAATATATAACTACATCTAGATATTTCATAGAAATTTGTACATTGATGTACAAGTGAATGAATCTTATATGGTGACTTAGAAATACACACATTATAGTACATTGCATTACATATATACTACAAAGACACAAGTATACTGTTTACTCATATCAACAAGGCATAAGATACTCTGGAGCCGTATATTCCTCAACAGCAGGGTGCTGTGTCAATAAATAATTGTGTGATCAAGCATGAAAAATTCCTCTTGATAATTACAGAGAAACAAGGTCACAATTCTTAACTACATTGAAGAGTTTCATTAGAGCACCAAAAAGACAGCATAACTAGCTGGAATACTTAGAGGAGTATTAAAATAGAAATATCATTTATCTTTATACAGAATTTAAATTGTGTTTATGTTGGTATAAATGAGAAACCAGTGTAGTGTATACCAATATTCAAAACCTAAAACTACAGGATACACCTCGCATCACTGTACTCACAAAAATCTTATTTCAGAATTTGATTTAAAACAACCTTTTTAGGAATTTCTCATCATGTAAAAAGCTTTTGGTGAGAGAATTTCTTTTTTTACATACATTCAATGCAAATATGTTACAAACTATAACAATATGTAGGAAGATGTACATAGACCAAGTACATGTTAAACGTCCTTCTAACCTGTAGTAAAAGTGAGGTGAATGGAATGTTAGGAAATTACATCAACTATAGCCTAATGATCCAACACTCCTACAGCTGCTTTATAAGATTTGTAGAGGTAACTGAACATGGGTGGGTAAGGCAACTGTAGTCACAGAAAGACACCTGATCTATTTACGAGGGCAAGGCAGTGGTATGAAAGAGTCTCTGATGACATATACATCATCACTGACTGGGTATAATAAAATTTTAAACATTATCATGATTCTAGTATAATCATTGTTTCTAACAATAAAGGAATATCTTAATTATAAACTATCATAATTATAATCTATCATAATTATAAACTATCTTAATTATAATCTATCATAATTATAAACTATCTTAATTTCTGTGTAATTAATGGTTTTAAAAATCATGTGATACCTTAACTATCAACTATTTTAATTCCGGTACAATTATTGGTCTTAACAATTATGGAATATCTTCCATATCAACAATCATGATTCAAGTATAATTACAGGTTCTATAATTTGTAGAACACTTTAATTACAAATATAAGTATAAAAAATAGTATAATAGTATAATTAGGTAGTACAGCAGTAAGGAGACAAGGAGTTTTTTTATATGTAGTTGTGACTTTATCTCTGATTTATAGTCTGGTGAATACTTCTATCAGTGTATCCATTTTGTGGCGTCACACATTCCACTCCAAATTACAGTAAAGAAACATTTTGGGAATGAAAAAAATAAAACATGTCTACACTCACTTGACAGCACCATCCTGTGAACTAAACGACAGGATATTATGGCCACTTTGAAACAGTATATCAATGAATAATCATATTTAACAATAAACATAAAGAACTCTAATAAAATCAGCAACGTTTCCTGAGACTACTACTATGTTAGTATATAAGTAGCATGATTATGTCCCTTGTTAACATGGCGGCAAAGTGAACAGAAGTGATCACACATGTGATGACAGAAAGACAGTGAATAGAAGTAATTACACATGTGATGACAGAAAGACAGTGAATAGAAGTAATTACACATGTGCCAACTGTCAAAGTGAACAGAAGTGATCACTCATGTGATGGCAGAAATACTGTGAATATAAGTAATTACACATGTGCCAATTGTCAAAGTGAACAGATGGAATTAAACATGTGCTGACAGTCAAAGTAAACAGACTGAATTAAGCATGTGCCAACAGTCAAAGTGAACAGATGGAATTACACATGTGCCAACAGTCAAAGTGAACAGATGGAATTACACATGTGCCAACAGTCAAAGTGAACAGAAGTGATCACTCATGTGATGACAGAAATACAGTGAATATAAGTAATTACACATGTGCCAACTGTCAAAGTGAACAGAAGTGATCACACATGTGCCAACAGTCAAAGTGAACAGATGGAATTAAACATGTGCTGACAGTCAAAGTGAACAGATGGAATTACACATGTGCCAACAGTCAAAGTGAACAGATGGAATTAAACATGTGCTGACAGTCAAAGTGAACAGAAGTGATCACTCATGTGATGGCAGAAATACAGTGAATATAAGTAATTACACATGTGCCAACAGTCAAAGTGAACAGATGGAATTACACATGTGCCAACAGTCAAAGTGAACAGAAGTGATCACTCATGTGATGACAGAAATACAGTGAATAGAAGTAATTACACATGTGCCAACTGTCAAAGTGAACAGAAGTGATCACTCATGTGATGGCAGAAATACTGTGAATATAAGTAATTACACATGTGGCAACAGTCAAAGTGAACAGATGGAATTAAACATGTGCTGACAGTCAAAGTAAACAGACTGAATTAAGCATGTGCCAACAGTCAAAGTGAACAGATGGAATTAAACATGTGCTGACAGTCAAAGTGAACAGAAGTGATCACACATGTGATGACAGAAATACAGTGAATATAAGTAATTACACATGTGCCAACAGTCAAAGTGAACAGATGGAATTACACATGTGCTGACAGTCACAATAATCTGTAGGTCTTAAACTTTTGTTGGCAGTCAGAGTGAAAGAAGTAATTACCATGTGCTGTGAGACACTGTGAAAGAAATTACACCTGTGTCGACAGTCACAATAAACAACAGTAGTTACACATATGCTGACAGTCAAAGTTAAAGAAGTAATTACACAAGTGCTGACAGACACTGTGAAAGAAGTACATATGTGCTTAGTCACAATGATCCATAAGGTCTTAAACATATGCTGACAGTCATAGTAAGAAATGTAATCATATATGTGCTGACAGAGACCCTGTGAAAGAATTACATGTGCTGACAGAGACCCTGTGAAAGAATTACACATGTGCTGACAGAGACCCTGTGAAAGAATTACACATGTGCTGACAGAGACCCTGTGAAAGAATTACACATATGCTGACAGAGGCCCTGTGAAAGAATTACACATGTGCTGACAGTGACCCTGTGAAAGAATTACACATGAGCTAACATTCACAGTGAAAGAAATAATTACACCTGCTGAGAAATAACATTGAAAGAATGGGACATGAGTTCAGAAATCTAGATAAATTTTCATCCTTTTTTATGACTAAACTCTACAATAAAAAGACATGCACTTAGATGAACTACAAATGTGTTAACTTATGATAAAAGAATGCTTCAAATGGAAAATATAAACATATATCTCTATGATCATCAAAAATAAATAATCACAATGCATATACATTTGTGTATATGAAATAGAGGTTGAATCCTAATTATATTGGAAAGTTGAATATCACAACGTTTGTGACATTTATTAATGATATAAAGACAAAAAAATCTGTTATAATGGATGAACACAAACTATTCTCAGTGGCTGTAACTCCTGTACGAGGTCTTTTTAAGAATGTTCCCTGAATCTAAACAGACTTTCTTTTAGCAATAATTTCACATGTAGAAGGTCTCAATAAATTTAAAAGAAAAGTACTGTATTTAAACTACATGTCACACATATTACAGTCTGTATACAACTTCACAAAATTTTCCTCTCAATAATATGTTTAAATCAGTATAATACCCTGTTTACCTCAATATCAGCTGGGTCCAATTAAAATAAAATGTACAACGACATCTGTCACATGACATTTTGATTTCATGACTTACAAATTTATCCTCGTCAATATCCCTACAATCCAATACAAACACCCAGCTTCTCTTGTTTGTTTTCATTTGGTACTCAACCCAACCCTTTTTTTCAAACTCCAAACCATATTTATTGGTGGATGTTTGATGGAATACTTCTAATAACTCAACATCCATACTAAGATAGAGATTATTGTCACACATTAAATTCCTTTATAAGTTATATTGCACTTTGCCATGAAAAACATCAATTATCACTATTTTAACATATCTTCCTGGCATTCTGTTGAGGAAGTCTCAGGAAAAAGTCTTTCAATCAGATGATCCAGGAATGTACACATGAAATTTCTGTAAAGAATAAAAGAATGTGATTAATTAAAGTAGTATACTTATGAAGTACATCATATATATCAGTATTACAATTAATTTAGAACTTTACCACAATTCACTTTTAACACATAACTGTTCAGGTTGGAATCTGCAGTATTTAGCCATGAATGACTCATGGAAGTACAAAATTGTATAACAGTACAGGCCTGGTTTATACTAAATGAGAAATGTTAACATTAACAGGAAATATGTGTTAGATAGATTAATGATTTATTACAAATTAATTTCACATTATAGTGTATTTCCTTTCTTTAACAAACAAACATATCTCCAGAAATACAGATTTATCAGGTACATGTTATTGAGTAGGAAATTTTTAAAATTTATAATCACATAAAAAATTCGGACTAGAAAATGGCTATAAGGCATGAAATTAACTTCTGTTCCCCATAAGTTTGTATCAATATTTGACAAACTCTTATCTTAAGTAATAGTGACCTAAATCTTGGAACCCAAGTAACACAACTCATTCAATGTATTTTTACTTGTAGTTGATTTTTTTTACATTTTATATTATATAACTGATCTTGTACACATTTTGATATAGCTCACCTTTGTACATATTTTATCATATATCTGACGTTTGGATACTTATTAATTATACAGTTGACCTTTGTAGGCATTCTCATTACACAGAGTTGACCTTTATATGTTATTTTATTATACAGTTGACCTTTGAAGGATTTTCATCGCGACTAAACCATTAATATCAATGGTACTCTTAATCTACGAATTCATATGTCCTTGAACTGTAACAAGATACAAGAGTATCAATGAAACTGATGAATACTCCTCAAAAGCAACATTGGACCCAAAATGACAATCAGGGGCAATAATTCTGTAAACAAGTGGTTTCAGGTATCGAATTTAGTACACTGTTCATTCTCTTAGTAAGACTTATGTATAAATGAAAGCAAAGTTATGCTTTGGACATAAAACTGTCACAAAGGCTACTAACTTTGTAAATAGGGGGTTGCAAGCTCTGAATTTGTTAAATGCTCATACTCTTAGATTGACCAATGTGTATACCATGGTTCAATATCCTAGTCTTAGTTTTGATTTGGGCACAAAATTTAACAAAGGGCAATAAGTCTGTAATTAAGGGGTTAAGGTACTTTAAACATTGTCTTCATATGACCAATGTATACACCAAGTTTCAGTATCGTAGCTTAAATGAAAGTAAAGTTATGTCCTGGACACAAAAGGTTTATCAATGGGTAATATTCTGTAATTAAGGGGTTGTGAGCCTTGAATTTGGTACACTGCACATCATCTCAATAGGATCAATGTATACATCAAGTTTCATTATCCTATTTCAATTGCAAGCGTATTATGCACCAGACATGAAATTTTAACAAAAGGCAATAACTTTTTAATTAAAGGGTCTCAGGCTATGCATTTGGTACACTACACAATGCCTTAATATGACCTAAGTATAAGCCAAATTTCATGATTATTGCATAACTGTTGGAAAGGCAGATGGATGGACAAAGCCACTATTATATGCTCCCCCAACAAAAGGCCAAAGGGCCTTAATGGTCACTTGAGTCACATTGCTTCCTGTAACATGTCACAGAAATGATTTTGCAAAAAAAGTAATATAATTTTTAACTATTTTACACATAATGCAAATGTAAATTACATGTACATTAACTGCTGTCCCATGCTAAGGCTTTTCACCAAGTTTGAATTAAAAGATATTACACTGAAGATCTGAAATTTCCTAGTAGAACATCTTTGAAATTTCAGTCAATTTTACCCATTTTTTGGCCCTGCCCTTCAGCCCCTGGAAGTCAGTCAAGGTCACTATGTGCATCTCATCAAATAGCTTGGTTATATTTATTTTAAAATGTTTGAATTATTTCTGAAAGAAAATAAACAAATTTTGCTCAGAAATGTAATTTTCCTTTATAAAATATAATTAATTTTACCCCCTACTCCCCAAGTGGAAATGTGAGATCCTGGGGTAATGAAATTTATAATTTTTATAACGCATCGTAAGACACTTCCATCCCTGAAGATTATTTGGGTCTACATTAACTGGGTATTGAGAAGAAGATTTTTGAAATTTTAGTCTATTTGACACATTTTATAACCCTACCCAGGAGATCAATATGTGAATCTCATTAAAATGTCAATTAAACTAATAATTCTAACCATGTCTGAAGTATTTCCAATATTTAAATAAACAAATAATGTTCAAAATACAATTTGCCTATATAAACTATTGTAGACTTTACCCCCTCCCCTTGGGGGAATGTTAGACTCCTGGATCATGAAATTTACAATTTTGGTAAAGCGTCTGAACGCCTTTCCATCCACAAAGAGTACTTGATTCTATCATAACTGGGTATTTGAGAAGAAGATTTTTGAAGTTTTAATCAATTTGACCCTTTTTAGTACCGCCCCTCAAGCCCTTGGGGGTCAGGGACCATATAATGTACACTTCTGGTGCACATTTAGCCCTGGAAGGTTTTTTTTAAGACTTCATTGAAATCTGTTTTCCAAATGAAGTTGAAAATGTTAAAATTTTATGATGCATGATAAAAGGTGATCACAATAGGTCACCCTGAGACTTTGTTTCAGGTGAACTAAATATTTTCAGGGAGTATAAGTTTGCTTATTAAGAAATATTTAACCATGAAAGTGTCCACTAAAATGTAATTTCTTAAAACTCCATGTCCACTAAATTGTTATGTTTTGAAAAACCAATAGAATTGAGCCCCACAAAAATATATGATTTTACAGCATATATGTGATCTTTGTACACATTTCTATATAAAGCAGATCTCTGTAAATATCTTATTTTATAGCTGACCTGTGCAGGAATTTACTTATATATATATGACCTTTTTATACATTTTTATTATCTAATTGAGCTTTGTATACATTTTCATTATATAATTGAGCTTTGTATACATTTTTATTATATAATTGAGCTTTGTGTACATTTTTATTATATAATTGAGCTTTGTATACATTTTTATTATATAATTGAGCTTTGTATACATTTTTATTATATAATTGAGCTTTGTATACATTCTAACATATAATTGAGCTTTATATATATTTTTGTTACATAGCTGATCTCAGTACACTTTTTTGTCATAAAGTTGACACTTGGAACAATTTTATTATACAGCTAATCTTTGTTAACATTTTCATTATAAAGTTGACCTTTGTACACATTTTTATTAAACTCTCTATAATATGAAGTCGTTAGAGTGATAACAGGCCTGGGAATTGAATAAAAAGTCACTCGTAAATCACTGTTCTTTTACTGAATATATTTGGAATGAAAATGCTTCTCAATGAAATAATATTTTCATATATAAAATGTTTCTTATCTTATATATCATTTTTCATTTAGTGTTCACAAACAAAAGAAATGGTCTTGTGTACTTAAAATGAAATCTAAGAATACCTATTCAGCTTCTGGTGTTCCATAGACTCTATGATCTCATCTATGCTGAATTGGTAATCGTCTGCTCCTACAAGCTGTTTCAGAACGTCTACAATAAATAAGATTCAATACTGATCTTTGATGTCATTTTCTATATTCATGCATCTGTAAGATATCTTTAGTTCATTGAATATATAAAACAGTAATAATAGCATTTTAGAATGAACTTTGGTGAAGGTTTTACATAATCACCAGAGGCATTGATAAATGAATACATACTAGGTCATTAAAATGTAGCCTCGACAAAATACCAGTTTATCACATATCACATTTTCCCAACAGAATAGTTTCAAGCTTTTAATTCATATTAAGATCAACAAACAGATCACTCTCAGTAACATGCTATAAAGCTCTGACACCCTCAGTTCACCCTTTAGATTCAGCTGGTGCTCTGATCACCATAAACTTACTTTTGATAAGTACTGGTAACATGTGTATCCATTGTTGACATTCCAATTAAAACGATTCCTAGTTTATGATTTATATTAAAGATAAGGCTCTTAATCTGAAATCATTGACACAGAAAGACATGTACCTATCTGATTTCTTCTGAAAACAAGATTTTGTATCACTTACATTAAGTCTGTGATAATTTTGTATATGACACATTGGCAGACTATTTCACATTTTTACAATACGATGTTTTAAGCAACAAGATATTTTACACATTACAATATTGAGATGAAGTAACAACCTGGGAAGAACTCAGCTAAACACCTCCTGGCTTGCTCCTTGGTGGCTGCTTTCTGTTTGTCCGTTTTGACCTTTCTTCCCTCCAGGGACAACTGTCCATTAGGCCAGAGTGTTTCTCGCAGGGTTCTAATATAGAACACACACATTTGCTCTGTTGTCAAAGTATCCAGCTCCATCATAAGAAACCTAAAAGATTTCACAAATAAGCACAGAACTTTCTTTAGTATACCTGTTATCAACTTAACAATACCTCAAAAAAATGGCTTCTGATGAAGGTAAAGTTATTTGTTGCATGATGAGGACTTTGATGATTAATGTTATTGAACTTGTGATTCAAAAACCTTTCACATGACTTTCTCAACACAAATTTCTTTTTATCTTCAGACTGATGATTAGAAAATATCTGTGATAAAAATAATTAGAAATTATAGGTTAAGCATGTCCACACTTTAAGCTCAAATTAAGCTCCATGTAAGGGTAGATGGGAAACTTTAACATGACACAATTAATTAAGAAAGTACAATTAACTACACACTGTAGATGAAATTCTGAATCTGAAATATGCGTTGGGATGGCAAGTATATTCCAGTTATGGTTTTGAAAACACAAATGCTTTGAGAAATTTTCAATTTTCCATGTAAATCTGAAACCCAAGTTAATTCACCTGTTTCTTAGTAAGAGGTTTACAGTCACCTGTTTCTATATTTCAATTAAACAATGTGATAAATCATCACCTTGAAGAACAGTACAAGCCAGGTGTTTAGTAAGACTGACCACTAGAGCTTACTGCAAAGAATAGTACCAGCCAGGTGTTTAGTAAATCTGACCACTAGAGATTGCTTTGAAGAGCACTACCAGCCAGGTGTTTAGTAGGACTGACCACTAAGGCTTACTTGTGAAGGGCAGTACCAGCAAGGTGTTTAGTAAGATTGACCACTCTGTCCCTCGTCACCCAGCAGTCCCGACCCTGTAAAGTCTGTATGGCAAGATCTATGACAGCCACAGCCAAAGCAATGTTGTCTAAATGGCCTTTGTTACCAAGAATGTCTTCTGAAAAATAAAGAAATTCCATATCACTGAACTCAGGTTAATACTTCAGGCTGTTACTCAAAAGTCAAGAGTAATACAATAATCATGTAAAATCATACTTTATATGATACACTGATCAGTTATTGTTTTCATGCATTTCAGGTACTTTTATTGAATGTAATGATTTATTTTTAAATGTGTAATTTCCTGTATGTATTGCCTTGATCCTTTTTAATGATTTTTTCACCAAACAAACTAATTCTATAAAGTTTCTTACATGACAATTTATGAAAAACTTTTTTTCAGACTTTATCTGATATATACACTGATACCTGTTTCTCCTTCTCTAGATGTTTGGCTACACTCCATTAAAGGATCCACTTTCTCATCGTCTTGGCTGTCAGCAATTTTGTGTTTGGAGTCAATTTTAATGTTTCTAGTAGTTATTTCATGTTCTTGTGATGAAGAAATGATTGTATTAGTAGATGCTATTTCCCTCTCAGGACTAGAATGTTCACCTATCATCATCTCGGTTTCTTCTGTGACTTCATAAGCTGATTCTTCTGGTGAGAATGTGGTGCGAGATTCATAAATCAGCTGTTCATTACTAGACCCATGGCTAGCAGTGGGCTTGGTCTCTGTACCTGAACCAATTTTCCATTGGGCTTGTTCCTTGTTTATTGGTGTAGTGGGACTTTCCATTTTGGAACAAGCCTTATTGCATTGCTTCCTGATGTATTGGTTCAATTTTCCATGTAAATCTGAAACCTAAGTTAGTTAACTTGTTTTTTAGGAAGAGGTTTACAGTCACCTGTTTATATATTTCAATAAAACAATGTGATAACTCATAAATTAAAATACCATCTTTTATTTCATTGTTTTATTCTATAAAAATAAAAACACAGTGACCCACACCTCTAATCTTGTACAAAACCTTTTTAATTGCAAACTGGTCAAGGATGACCTTTGACGTTTTACCATGACCAATGACCATTAAAATCCAATTGTGTGGAGACCTCAATTTTGTAAAGCTAGGTGGGATTCTGAACTAAATCTGTTCAAGGTCCTGAAATATCTTGGAATCAAGGTTATCATGAATGCACAGAGGGATGGATGGGAGGGGCCACTTATATACAAAACCACTAATTGATTACTGCATACCTTCTTACCAAAGTGGGAGTAGTAATTACTATTTACATGAATTAACTGAACCTATAGATCAGTCTGAATGTTTAAAAGATTTCTATGTTAATGTTAACATTCAATCATCAGAATCTATGAGCTTTATAACACATATGAAGATGTTGTACAAAAAAATCTGTATTTCCACCTACAGGTACATTTATGTACGATCATTAATTGAGGATTTCTTCATATAAAATTTGAAGGTTGACATTGAAACAAATTTGGGATTAAATGTAGAACATGTATTGTCCATCTTGCACCATATATCATTCAGTTAGTCTCATTGTATAAACATACTAAGAACAATCTAATGTAAACTTGTAAACAAAATGCTAATTTGAAAATACCAAACAAACCTATTTGCATTATATCAATCATTAATCAAAGAAGCTGAAATATGATAGGGTATAACAATTGATAATAAATTTTAGTAGTTGTAGGAAAATTACAATTATATGTGTTGGGGAGGTAGATTTCAAGCTAATTCAAACTTTAACTTTGTTGATATAACGCATAGTGACAAAGATCAATTACCATGCAGTCATGTCAGAAACAGTTCTTTTAAAATAGCTATTAAACAAAATTAATTAGCCATTTACACATTTTGGTAAGTTGGATTCATGATAAGTTTCTGCCTTTCAAAATTATGTTAATCCTTCCTACTGTGTGTCTAGGGTAACCTTGTGTTTAGTCCATGAAACAGTCTTAATTCAAGATTATTTAAATATTTAGATATTTTTTCATCTCAGATATAGTTTCAGTATTTGATACAGACATCTTCAAACAATTCTTACATATTAAAGATATGTCACATTGTTATAACAGAATTTTTGCCTGGATGAACAATACCAAATGATTGTAAAAATTATTTCCATTGTTACAGCATTTATTCTAGGTAGAATCATGCATTGATACTTGAAATTTTCCTGCTACTAACTATCAATTACACAGACCAGCAATGTTTTGGGCTAACAAAACTGTCAACTCATGTGACTGGAGTGACTAATATTCAAGAAAACTTTGGTTTTTGATCAAACTTGAATGGCAGCTATTGTTACTGATATTTCATAAGTTATAACTACAGCAAAACATGTTTATAATAAATCTCTGGGGACAATGAGAACCAGTTTGTTATATAAATGGTTTGTTATACACAAATTTATGGAAAAAATATTGTATGATTCGTTTTGAAGAAATAAAGAAAAAACTGGACTAACAACAGCACTTTCCCCACAAAGTGAACACACAATAATACATCTTGTTTTAAAATGTCCAACCAGCCAGTGTTGGATTTGAAGTCTGTTTCTCAAAGTTGTTTTGCGAATTTTCCGATTTTGCTAATAAAACAGGCCCAAATAACAGAATATTTTGATTCCTTTTTTCTATAAACCTTTGATTATAGAGCATTTTCAACAGTTTCGTACGTACACCTTTCTGCTGTTTCCTGCTCGGCGATAAATTAAGGGCCAAGCACTGTTGGAGAATTTCAGTGTGAATTTTCAAAATTTTACTGAGAGTTGATGCTGGAATTCAAAACTTGGCTGCAATTTTCTTTTTCGTTATGGTCCCTTTGTCAACTTAGTTTTAAGAGTCATCACCTTTCTCTTACGAGAAAAAACCAAAGCAACTAAAATAGTACATGCTGTTTTATCATTTGATACAAAGAGTTCAGAAACCCCTAATTCTAAATACAATAGAATACCTGAGCTATATATAACAACAACTAACTTTATTTATAACTACCTTACCTGTGTTTGTCACTTACCTACGTTACATGGTCACTAAATAGCAATGATATTTACCGAAGTGGACCTAAATGCTTTTTTATTAAATAGACATTAATTTGCTATGAGAAATTCTTAATACATTTTGAAATTTCCATACAAATGAAAGGACACTTGTTGAACAATGTTATGTTAATAGCCATAAATTTGCCATAAGCATGTTTTTTAACAAACATGTTTTACTGTACCTTACCTGACTTTCAGCACTGAAATCCACATTGATCAGGTCCAGGTCTTTTGCCGGCTTTCCTTCTTCTTCTGACACAGAGCTATCTTTCTTGCCTGGTAATTTTGGTAACACCTCTTGGGCTTTATTTGAAAGCTCACCAATTTTATCAAACACATCAGACATGGTTTTTACAATCATCTAAAATTGTAAAAAAACAAGTAAAATAAAAGAAAGCAAAACAAGAGGCCCATGCGCTTTAATGGTCATATGATTATAAAGACCCATATATGATATATTTATAACAGCAGTAGTACATGTAATAGGAAAAGGTATTAAGTAATGAAAACAATTTTGAATGTTCTAGCAGTAAAGGCAAAAAACACTCCTCATTTCTGTTTCTCAACATTCCCATGAAATTGCGGTTCAATTACAGGAATGGAACTTGAGAAGAATGTGTCTCATCAAGATAGAGGCCTAATTGGATTTCAGCATGAACTGAAAAATAACACTATTTGATCAGGACAATTTCAGATCATTTCTGACAAATTTCAGCTGAATCTCAATAGTCAAACTTGCAAAGTATTGTGAAATAGATGCTGTTCAGGGAAACTATGATTGTGCGATCATGTTACAAAATGGTTGCCATCGCTGCCATATTGAAATTTAGATAAGCTGAAAAATAATTTAACACTAACATTCTCACCAACTTTCAGCTGAATGGCATCTGTTGAATTTGAAAAGAAGTTTAAAATGTAGGAAGTTTATGCACAGCAGCAGGCAGACAATAATGGATGAAACACAATGGCTATAGTTCTTCCTAACCCTTTGGGTCAGATAACCTAACAATCAAAACCTCATTAAATGCACATGCTGAATCAAAAGATCTTAATATTGGCAGCTTATACTTGTGAGAAAGCAGCATCTTGTTTTGCCTCTTTCAAATCAACTTACTAAGTAAGATACAGTTTGTAAAAAAGACAATCACCTTGTCAATTCTTGGTACTGATATTTCTGGAGCCTTCCTAACAAATGCTATATGGCCATCCCCTTCATAGGCTAAGAACTCCTTCAGCTCTGATCCATTGCATATGTCAAGCTTTTGAATCAATGACTGCAAAAATTAAAATCACATGATACCATGGCATGATTTTACAGCATAGTATAAGGACTCATCAAGAATAGTTTGACAATAGGTCACTCAGTAAAATCTAAAACATCACACAAAATATACATGCTTGTATGCATTCATTTACCTTTAGGAATGCCTCTAGACTCTTCCTGCGACCTTCAACACTCCTCTTATCCATATTTCCAAATGGCAGAGAAAGCCATCTTCTTGGTCCCTTAACATCTGTCACAATTATATTCCAAACAGCAAATGAATTTCACATAACATAACCAAAATATAAAATATCAACCTCGGGTGAAAAATTTAGAGAATCAATGTAACAGGTTCTCATTTCACTGGATATCTATGTAACAGTGAAATAAAAACATGTTATTTTAAGTAGAACCTTCAGATCACTTCCATCAATTGTGAAGTACAGTGCATAATTTGTTTGTATATACTAACTACTAACACTTTTCAATATGTATTACATATAATAAGGTCAAATAAATATATTATGGGTGATTGAGTGGCACTGTGCTAACACATTCTCCTTTCACCTAGCCATCTGGGGTTCGCCCAGTGCACACATGAAAAGTATGGGATCACCATGTCTGACCACATGGGTTTCCACCTGGTACTCTGGTTTCCTCCAGCAGTAAGATCCTCGTATGCTTCCATCCGAGCCAACAAGAGTGATTAATATCAGCTAATAGCTTGTTTTGTAATGCTTATTAAACAAAGTTTAGATTCATATAAAGAAATTTTGTTTGTAATCTCATGGGGAAGAAGGAAATGAAAAAAACAAAAGCGAAGATATTGGTGTTGAATGAAATAGTTTTTCTAACTGAAAAGGTATTTATTGAAAGAGTCAGACATACACTAAAATATGAATAAGAGCAATGTTGCACAAGACCTTGGCAAATGTAATGTGAATGAACTGTTACTTAATCTTGTATACATGTTTGTATAGATACTAAAGTAAACAAAACAGTTTTCTCACCCTTTAAACTTTTCCTATATGCTTCATTATCCTCCAGACGAGCTTGCAGATTCACAAACTCACGAAATCTTCTTTTTACACTTCTGGTACGTAGTTCCAAGGAATGAGTTTCTGTGCTGTACAATGCATCATACTGAAAAATATTGTACAAGTACATGAACACACTTTAAATAAATCATGAAGGTTTATATCAAATTTTGTAACTTTGGTTTGCATCAAAACTTGTTCTTAAAGTCATGATTCATTAGTTTTACTAGACTATTCATATTTTAAAACCAAACAGGATGAGGATGATACAAACTGACTGATTCAAATTCCTACATACATTCTCAATACATGACAAGAGATTGGTGACAGCAGCTTAGTTCCTCTTTCACTTTCAAAAGACAGATGTCAACAAGCTATTTCAATATGTTATTTCTTTAAAACCAATATAATTACTTATTTGAACCTACATCTGTGTTTTTTATCACTGATCTGAAATGTAAATGGAAAGACATACCTGTATATTGTATAGGGTATACTGTGTAGAACTTCTCATTTCCTGTCTTGTCTCAGTGTCTGTAATAGACACATCCACAAACAACATATTTGGAAGTTCAAGCTGTTCCAAATTGTTAACCTCAACTTCATTGCTATCAAGGAATACATGTACCTTTGATGAAATTTCATCATCATCGGTAGCACTACTCTCTGCACTAAAGTCCTCAGGGTCAGAGATCCTTGAGGCTGAACCAGTACCAAGGTCACTAGGACAACTACGTGCTAATGTAGGATGACCTCTATCACAGTATAAAGAGTTTCCATGTTTCACAGTTCCAAAACTCTTCATTGTATTTTCCTCTCCATAGTCATATAATTGGTCTTTCCTCTGATCAGACATGTATGAATCATTCACACATTGAAAATTCTGCAAATCATGAGCGCTTGATGTTGAGCTTGATCTTCTCATCCCTCTGACATCTGACCTGAGTGAGCAACTCCCAGGTAGATTGCACTCGGATAACCCATATCTATCTGGATCCATTCCATCTGCTTCTTTCTGTTGGTCAGATATGACAATTTCAACCTTATTCTGGAAAACATTTTGATATGCAGCCATTTGATTACTTTCTAGATTTTCATCCACTAGGCTTTCTGATGTTTCATTGTCTTCTAGAGAGCATATCTTCTCATCAGAGAGTATCCTTATTATGCATTCATACAAAAAATCAGAGTCAGAGAGACGTTCTATCACAGGTAAAAATATATTGCATGTAAAAATCTCAACAAAAAGTAAATATGAGGTATTGCAAATGCCAAGGTGACCAGGAAGAAGTTGAGACAGCAATATCTGAACCACTGATCTGAAATACATAATCTCATTTTCCACTCCCCAAACTGCTGAATGATAGGAGAATTTTATTTCAAATGCCTCCTCCACAGAGTTAATTCTACGCGAGGCATATAGCTGTTGACTTGTTGATGGCCTTCGTTGACTCAATCGTCTTCTTGGTTGAGTTTTATACAATGTGCGAGCTACTTGAAACATGCGAAGATGTTGCCTATAATGCAGAAGAATATCAGTTAATAACTTGTAGGTATTCAGCTTTTGGAATCTTTGACATAATTCAAGAAAACATGTGTTGATAATTTCATGTGTTTCCTCCAAAACACTATCACTGACAGAGGAGAATGTACCATACCAAGGTTCCACAAAGTCTTTGGAAACAAGGCCTGAGAACACTTGCACCTCATCCTTCCATCCACAAGCACCCATTTCATCTCTAGCCTTTATACCTCCTGAAAGCACCCAGACGTCAGTATTTTCTTTCTCGATAGCCCTAATGCGTTCAGCGTCTCTAAGCGTGTCCTCGTAATGCTTTTGCGTATCGTGAAACTCATCGTCCACACATGTCTTTCGCAAGCCAAGACCTTTGTTGTTATTCGGACTTTGATTAGTTTTTAGTATCTTCACAAGTCGGAAGATGTGTTTGAACAATATTTGGTGTCTAGTAGCGAAAATCAAAATTGAAACACCGAATGAGAAATTGGTTTTAACAGACGACAGAACATGACATGCGATTGCAGAAGAGATAACCGCCAAAACGTAAACAAACACAACTGTTAACAGACGAGCATAAAATATGGAGGCAAATCCTACAAAGAAGGATATTATCACTATTTTCTGAAAAGACGAAAACCTGTTATGGTATCCATAAATGTCTTTGATATGACGCCATGTCTGTTTGACTTTTTGATCCATTCTTATTGTAGCAAACAGTGAACGTAAGTGTCAAAATGGTTATCATCATAATTTTTGTGACAGGAGGTCGCCATACTTGTATCCCGCAGCAAAATCAAGCCCGATCATGTGACCGATCACATGAACATTTATTATAAAAAGAACAAAAATAACAAAATGTCAATTTGAAGTATACAAAAACTGGCATCCAACGCAGCGATGCTACAAGCACAACGATTTGTGAAAAAAAAAATCATATAGGTGTAAATAGAAGGGAGGTAACTCTCAAATACACGAAATGCCTAATGTACACATCGATATCTGTTGATATATAAGTATGTTGTGATGTTTTTACAATATTTGACGTTTAACACTAGCGGTGATGACACTATTGTCATAAACATGTCAGACACTGTAACAATCATTCATTATATGTTGTTTTTGGCTGCACTTTGAGTTTAGATATAGTATGTGTAACCGAGGTTATTATTTATTTCAATATCTCCGTTTGGATTCGAACCCTGGATCCCGGGTGAATATCTCTCTTGTTGAGCGGTATTTTACCAGGGTTACATAAAAACATACCTTTCTTTTTAGTTATAAACAGTACAGATTCATGCCAAGAAGATCAGCAACTCTCCACCTCCTTAATTACTGACTTTGGTAAATGGGCTGCTGCATTGGAAGAACAATACTTGATTCATAATAATTGATTCATCATCTACTAAGCCCAAGGCAATTTGGATTTACCACGGGACTGGACGGATATCATAGAAAGCAGGGGCGATTTAGCCATATGTGTGTGACTTTATGTAGGTGTTTGATAAAGTTCCACACATATGGCTGTTAAAAGAAACTGGCAGGATATGGTATAAGTCAGAAAGACGGAAAATGGATACAGGACTTTCTAAGTAACATATGTCGGCATGTTATTGTAAACGGCCAATCATCAAAAACACCCTGTAATTAGTGGTGTTCCTCAGGGAAGCATTCCTGAACTAAAATTATTTGTATTATATATCAATGACCTCCAAGAAATACCAACGTTTTCACTGCCAATATTCGCAGATGATACAAAATTATACAGGCAGTTAAAAAGCGAAGATGTTGAAGCACTCCAAGGACACCTGGATAAACTTCAAATCTGGTAAAAAAAAATGGCTTTAAAATTTCATCCGAACGAATATAAGGTTATATCAATAAACGGTTCCGAAAAAGGAAATATTTCATGTCGGAACAAGGAGTTAAGATCCAGTTGGAAAATGTCATGCATGAGAAGGATATTGGCGTAACCATCGATGATGAGTTCAATTTCAAAGCACGCATACATAATATGGTTATTAAGGCAGATTAACTAATAAGATCATTTGTTTATCTTGATGAGTCGGTGTTCATTATATTGTACAATTGTATTGTTAGATCACACTTTGAGTATGCAGTAAGTGTATGGAGCCCATCTTGAGTTTCAGATATTGAATTGATCGAGAAGGTACAGAGGAGGGCTACCAAGCTAATCCCTGGACTTAGGAACTTATCATGTGAAGAACGCTTAAGGAGATTAAATCTAACGCTTCAACATCGCAGAATCAGAGGAGATATCATAAATGCTTTTAAAATAGCAAAACATATTCATGATTACAGAGTGACAGCAAACTCTTCCCACATTGACCCTTCAAGTCGAACAAGGGGTTATTCAGAAAAGATTTTTGAAAAAAAAACCGCTGCAACCTGGATACAAAAAAAAAAAAAAAAAATTTCTTTAGTCATAGAATAGTAGATATATGGAATAATTTACCACAACATATCATTGATGCAGATAATGTTTACCATTTCAAAGAATTGCTTGATGAACATTGGAAAAATATTTGATATTTAATTTTAATGTTTGTATGATTCATATTTTTGGACTCTACATAGCTATTGTACCTGAGGATGTAAATTTACTCATTGTATATATATATTGTTGATATGGATATAGAGGCTTTCAGCCTGTGTCCATTAATCTTCCTAATAAAATCCTAATGAATAAATTTATTGCATTTACACAAATTTTCAGAAGGCATTTAACACTGGCAAAAATATTAATATTACATGTATATTGTAATTCTACATAAACAAACAGAAAGAAAACGAGGAAATGTTTGACACAGAATTTGAATAAATGTATTCAAAAAAAAAAAAAAAAAACCAACCTAATTCTATGATGACCATCATTAGCCTAGAGCATTTCAAACTTTGCAAGCAATTTTTGTTTCGTGTATAAGGTTATATACATTGGATGAAAACAATAGAAAAAAAACCAGATTCAGGTGATAGACATAAAAAAAAACAGGAGGTGTACAAAGAAGCGTAACAAATCAAGAAATTTATCTCCACTCTCATACAGGATTTAAAATAAAAGATATCACTGGTTTATTGAAATAAAAGAATGCCTCAGAACACTATGGTAGCACAAGAAATTCTTTAAAATTATACCTCAAACAGTGTTGAAGTATAAAAGGATGACCACTAATTTTTGCTACAAACTACGATTTTGTGAAATAACTTATCAGAAAATAATGTGACGGCCAAAAATGTCAACTGCTTGCAAAAATGAAAACACTTAAATCAAACATTTTCCCTACAAAGTCATTCAAATGTCATGCTCAATTTTGTAACTGAACAGAGTAGCATGATGGCTAACAGGCAGTCACATTGGATTTTAAAAGTTGAAGTTCATTATAGCTATTTATTGATTTTGAAACTTTAAGTGTGTTATTGCTTTTTCTTGAGAGGACCTATCTATTTCTTGATGGACCTTTCTTTTATTTTATATGCAGACATCTCTTAGTTTCTAGCTGTGCATGCATGATCAATTTTGGGATTGCTCTGTGGAAAAATGGCAGATAGGCAACTGGCTACAATTTTGACAGTTGCTAGTTCTGAATGGATTATATTTTTAATTCAGATGTAATTTAGGTTCTCCATGATGCTAAGTTGTGCATTTTAGTTTAAGGTACAAATTTTGACAAATACATGCATAACAGATAAGCCATCTTGGATATTGTCACATTAAGTTTGCTATTGCCATTTCTTGAGAATTTATGACGAAGCAGGTTGCACATACAGTATTTGATGCTGAGATCAGTTAGAAAAAAAAAGAAGAGAAATCCAACCAATAAAAAAATAATAAAGCTCATGGGATGGTGGGCACTTGTTCTTTTGACAATTTCTTCAGCCCATTATGTCAGTTACTATTAGAGTAACATAATCTCAAGATCACTAATATGAACAACTATAAATATCTACCTTCTCTGAATGATCCTGGTTACATACCGATATATAACCGTAATCACTCTGGTTCGTCTGTCCCTCATATATCTCCTTTCTGTATATGTACAGTATTTGAGTTCTGGTGGACTGATTTTTCACACACTCATCCATTGCTTCCTCAAAGAAACTGTTTGCTTGAATTTCCTATCAAGTTCAGGTGTCAAAGGTAAAGGTCACTGTTAGTATAAATAAATTGAAAATTGGTTTCTGTACAATATATCCAGATCTGTCAGATAGCTTCAAAGGTCAAAGACAATCTTTTCTTTAAATAAAAAATTGATGTGGTACAATATTTGGAAATCTGTTGAGCTGAATCCATTCATTGCTCCTTTGCAAGACAAGCTTGATTGGGAAAGCTTTTAAGATCAAGAGATTTAAGAAGGTCACTATCCCTATAATCAAAACATCAGTTTCCACATATCTTCACAAATTATTGATTCTTCTCTGACCTCACCCATTAGTTCTTTGAAGAGATTCTTGCCTACGATTGCCTTTCAGGATTGTACATAAATATTTAAGAGGAGATTCCTAAAGAACAATGTTCAATGCCATTAATGAAAAACCCTATCATATTCTATTTTGGCTTCTACAGGGAAGGCATTTGTACACACGTTCCCTGGAAAACAACCAGCACTCCCTGTTTAATCTTATAATTATACTACAGATATGTTAATAATTTACTACTTTTTTTGTAATTGGTTGATATCTCACATGCTGAATTGCAAAAAACATCTTTTGGTGGATTCAGAATTAATTTGTTATCCATTTTGAGACTACAAAGATTTGACCTTTATGACCTTGAAATTCAACAACTTCAAAAGTCCCATATTCAAGCTGCCTATTTCTGTGGCTAACGATTGTGTTGTTTTCTATGATTTTACTATACTACATAGCAATATATTTTTGCTAATCACAGTCTGGTGTATCGCATCATGAAGTTAATGTGCTTGCATAGATTGATTTTTGTGTCTGAATGTGAACATTAAAAATAACATCTCTTTGCAAATATTAGTTGGCTTTACTCCACGACCTTCTGTTAGTACATGTTGAGAATGTCAGTTGTCTATGAAAATTATCAGTAGAACAATCCAATTCATCTGAACAACATTGGTGTGAGATTTAACAAACAAGTATGGACATTTATCAGGTTGATTTTATTCTCATATGTTCAGAAGAATAGATTCACGCAGACATACATACATCTACTTGCATCTCTTCTGAATATGTACACAAAATTTAATGGTACCAACTAAATGTGCTATTACATGGTCAAAAATAACTGGAACTGTTAGTGATTAGGTGTTCACTTCTACAAATGATGAGCATAGAGAGGATACATCTTCATTACAATACAAAGTAAAAATTATACAACATACCTCGCATTTGAATCTATATAAACATTAAATTAAAATCCTGCTACACTGCAACAGATCTTTCACATTGATCACCTAACATACATCCTTGATATTCCACTCTACATCCCTGGAACAAGTCATGGCAAATTTGAATGTTCTATATGCGACACCATGAGGACAAGATGAAAAGATGTAGTTTGACCCTTTAATGTATATCAAATGAATCTCGCAGTTGCATAACAGTATATTGTAATGGCTTTGAAGTTGAGTGTCATGCCTTTGCAAACTTCAAATGGAAGGTATCAACATGTGATTGACTGACTGATCAGCTTTATTCCTCATGGAACCAATTATATTACTTCACATGTGCCTTCATTTTTGCCATATGTTCCAGGGCTGCAGAGAGCAAAAGTGATCACAGCCCCTGGAGTATCAAGGATACCAAACTTTGGGTCAATAATAACATATATATATCTATCTTTAAATGCTGAGCTATTTGACAAAAGTAGAAATCCAAGATTTTATCACATGAAGTGAGTCATATTTCAAAATATTTTTTTTTGTTTGATCCTTTGTTACTGTGACAGTATCTAATAAACAAAACTCAGTGATCAAATGACATTATTCAACAGTATGTAATATAAAGTTTCTTGATGTTTTCTTTTTTTTTTCTTTTTTCTTTTTTTTTTTTTGTTGAGATTCAATACAAAATAATAACTTAAGTGGTACCTCTGACATGATATGTCAACACACATTATGGTCAATCTATTCTCATACTTTACACTTAAAACTATGCAAGTTTTACAATTATGAACACAATATCTTCCAATATTTAAGCAGCACCACATCAACATATACTAAATATAATCAAATATCTTCAGTATTTGCAGGTAAAACAGCAAGTTTTAAAAATTCATTATGATATTTGGTCATGATTTCACAAATCCAATGTTCAAACTGACAACACTAGATAAAAGAAACCAAAAAATACCAAATCTTCTTGCTAAATTTCATTAATGAAGATGAAATTATTTTCCTGTAATTGGCATCATAATGAATTCTGATATCTTACCAATATAATTAATTAAAACATGGAACAGTACATTTTTCATGATTTAATTTTATCAGAAAATATAAAATTACTTTTAACAACTAAAACTATGGAAATATGTACCTGTTAAACAAACTACACATATACTTACATCAGTTCAACACTATCTTTTCTATTTTCATACAAGAATTACAAATATGACAATATGTCAATTCAACAATTCATTAACATGTCATGATTAAAAACAATTACAAAATGAATCAAATAAACAACAACAAAATCATGTTTTTCAAAACTATGATAATTTAAGTACTCTGTGGTGTACACTTTGATCCTCTGAACATTTAGGTACAAACAACAGACCTTCAGTTTTGGACTTATTTTCACGCTTGGTTGTGCTGAGCAGATAAAAAATGTGTCGAAGGATGACTTACTATTTCTGTATCAAGATAAATAGAGCATTTATATATTACATCTGTTTAGATACATAGAAATGAGGTACAAACTATTTCTCCACAACCAAACAGGCTACAAGCACCAATTTTGATTTAATTCCCAGGTATGTGCAGGAAACAGTCAGGTACTGGCATGTGTAAATATATGGATTTTTAATTAAACTGTTGATGTGTTAGGTAGGTGGGGTGGTGAACTTTAGAAACCCCTCCTTGATCCCCTTTCATGTGGGTTAAGTAAAACAATAATGCTGGACGTAATTAAGTAAAATTGGAACATTTGACACAGACAGAAAAATTTCAGATAGCATGCAAAATTAGTTACATATTTCTGAAATACAAAATGTCTTCACAAAATATTCACTTCCATTACCATAATTAATCATTTTTGCTTAAAGGCTCATTATTGAGTAAAGGAAAGGATAACAAGTACACAACACAAACACAACAAAAAAGCTGTTGTCCAAATATGAGTAAAATGTTAATATCGTCTAATGTTGTGATTCATTCCTATGTGAGTGTTCATGGGGACAGCTGCATGCTGTCCGGTCATTATGCGCTGTCCTCCCATCATTATACCTGGTTGCTGCACGCTGGTCATATATGCACTAGCTCCCATATTGGAGGAAAGTCCTGATGCTGACTGTGACCCACTTCCCCAATGACTAGACTGGTGTGCAATATTTCGAGAGGCTGGTACTACACCTATTTAAGAAACAATTAAATTTAGTAGTGTTTCCAATTAAAGCTTAGATTATATCTTCAGTAGTGAAAAAATAAGATTTTACACAAGTTTCCAATTCATATGTGCTGTATGGAAAGAATGTAAAATAAACTTGTCAAAATAACACTCATTTCTGGTTTAAGGAACCGTATTCAAAGAGGCATTTATAGATATCTTCCATCAGAGTATTCAGACAAGTAAAATAATCCATCAACAAGTAATGGGATCTGTTACAGAAGTCCCTCAAACTTCCTCTCAGCCATGAATAATGCTTATTATAGCACTTAAATATAGGGAAAGGCAGTCTGTGGAACAGGCTGGCATACAACTTTCAAAATTTTAAACAAACCTGACAATGGCATTGAACCCTGGCATACAACTGTGACAATGAAACTTTAACTAACTCCTGATTAGTCATACTTTCCAATAAAACAAAGCATCACCTTCATGTTTCAGATACCACACTACACCTACATACCAAATTTCACTAAAATCAAACAATATTTAAATTTCAACTGATCAGAAGCCTCCTTATGGCAGCCATACTGGTCACAATGTCACTATTTTAATACATTGTCTTAGAAACTGTCCCACAGTTATCATTTCTACCAATTCTCCTCGTGATGTGCAAAATGGAACAAAATTTATATGTGAAAAGATATAAGCCAATTGGGAGTCAGAAAATGGTGGCAAGCTTGTGAAATCAGATAACACAAGTTGATAATAACTGATGTGAAGATTCAATAAATAGTTTTGAAGAAAAGGGAAGGACACTTTACAGTAGAAAGCAGAAAAAGAATAATAAAAAGAAATATAAACTAGTCCCCAAACTTCTTTTGTGGGGCTTAAAGGGATATTCCAACAAAGTTGCCAAGAAATTTTGTTGCTCCATTCATTTTTGATATATTTCTTATGACTATTCAATTTATTATAAGTGTTAAAATATCTTTCCTATGGTCACGTCTGACGGGCAAAATTGATGGAGTAACCGCTGACCAGATTAAAATTAGAATGTGTAAATAAAGCGCGTTTATAACGTGATCATTTTGAAAACAAGGCTTCAATCTTTGTTATCTTTTTGTTCGTTTTGCATTATCTGTTCTCTTCCATACACTACTGCCACCTCTCTTACTGTTTCCCAGTTGTGATGCATGGCTTTCGTTTCGCCCATTTTGACTTTTTCCTCTTTTTCTCTAATATACAAACTCTTTTCTTTCGCCCTAAACATATCACCATCAGAGTCACTACTTTTGTTTGTTTACAGTGTATAACACAGGTGCAAAACCTGATGTGACTTCATCAGGGCAGCATGAACATTTGTAAACAGATCAAGCAAGACCTAAATGGAACTTCCTCAAATAAATAGTGAAAGTCGTGCAATTTCCATGAGAAATTAAGTAGCTGGTTTTCTACAATTTTCTCAAAACGTATCTTATGAAATCCTGACATGCTGAATATCTATTTAATAAACAAGAGATCCCAGAGGAACCTTGGCACCCATCATTGCTTGATCTTTATATGCTCTTTGAAAGTTGTATCTTTTTACTTCTTTTCTCTTCTGTTTTTTGTTTTAATGATATGACATTTGAACATTCCTTTGCAGGAATAGCCATGATAATCTTTACCTGCCAAATCTAAAATGGCCGCCTGAAAGTAATTTTGTTTCTTTTGATTGAATCACACAAGCACAAGATGACAACAAAATAAACACACTTACGAAATTTGTGACATATCCGTTCACAGCTTCTTATGACATAGCAAAAGCAATCCAAGATGGCTGATGGTCAGCCTTTTTTTTCTGATCAGTCCAAAACTCAAACAGGCACAACTAGGGACCTAAAGAAACCTATACATGAAATTTGAGAAAGCTCTATAGATTAGTTCTCAAGAAACAGTGATAACAAACTTTTGAAGTAAAATCTAAGATGGCAGTTTGTGGGCCATTTTGTTTTTTCTCATCAGAACCAAAATCAAACAAGCACAACTAGGGATCAAGTAAAGCAAACACATGGAATTTGAGAAAGATCTAAGCTGTAGTTCTCCAGAAATAGAGATAACAAACTTTCAAAGTCAAATGTCCATCTGTCGGCCATTTTGTTTTTCTGATCAGTCCCAAAATTAGATGGGCACAACTAGGGACAAAGGAGAACCTACACATGAAATTCAAGAAAGATCCATCCATTACTTCTCAAGAAATAGCTATAACAAACTTTCAAAGCTAAAATACAAGATGGTCCCCTTTCAGCCATTTCATTTTTCTGAGCAGTTCCAAAATTATACTGGTAAAACTAGAGACCAAGTGGAACCTACAAATGAAATTTGAGAGAGATCCATCTCTTCCTTTTGAAGAAATATTGATTACACACTTCAACTGAAAAAATTTAAGATGGCTGCCTCTTTTTTTGAGAGGGAGACCAAGGGGAACCTACATGTACAATTTGAGAAAGATCCATCCAGTACTTCTCAAGAAATAGCGACAACAAAAATTGTTACAGACAGGCAGACGACAGACCATGGATGCAGAGTGATTTGAATAGCCCACCATCATAAATAAAAAAATTAATTGAATTCACCAATAAAAACTGTACTACATTGACCAAAACGGTTATTTCCCTTGTCAACGTCTCGATATCAATTACATCTTAAATATCTCTCTTTCTTCTCTTTCATCAGAAATCATTTTACTGACTGTTACATATAGAATCAAAACTATTGTTCATGACATAAATGCCAAATTCCAGGACTTTCCAAGCAGATTGCGAAACTCCACATTTCCAGAAAAGTGCTGAATTTCAATTCTTATTACTGTATGAATCAAATGATATGACTAGATCAAGCTTTTATGATATGTTCATGACATAATTTTCTAATTGCATCGAGGTAAATAACTTCATATATACAAAACCAACTGATATAAAGCTCATAGTCAAAACAGCAAGAATAATTCCTACTAGCATCGGTAGATACCATTTAAAATTTTCTATAAATATCTGAAGAATATATCTCAATGGGGTATACAATACCTCTGTCAATTTTCCTTTCCCCTCTGTTGTCAAAAGTATTCCTCTGAGGTCGTCTGTCCACATCTCTGCCTCTATCGCTATCCCTATATCTTCCTGCATCACCATCCCTGCCTCGTACAGCATCTCTGTTTCGGTCACTAAATCTGAAATAATAACATCAAAAAATATCAGTAGAATAAAGATCACTCCTTAATCCAAAGAATCTTCTGTAAGTCAAAGCTGATTAATTACAAATGCTTTAGGACAAGGCCAATCCCTTACACATATTAAGTCAATAAAATGTGTTGAAATTGAAATTTCAGATCAGGTTTTTTTTCCATATCACTATTTTGCCATATAGCTGCCTTTTTTCTGAATGTCAGAAAAGAAAATAACTTGAAATAAATTCAATATGCCAACTTTGAAACAGGGAATATCTGGAAATATAGAAAAATTGTATTCTAAATGTAAGAAAAAGTATTCTCAAAAGAAATCAGATGACAATTTTCCCAAACTGGTTAAAAAAAAAGAAATGTAAGATAAAATTATTTTTCATCTATCAGAACAAAGGAAGTGGTTAAATATTTCTGTTTATTTAGTGCTGTATAAATGCTATCAATGTTCTTCCCCATCCAGTTTCTTATGATGGTATCAATACATATGAATTTTGAGCCATTACACATCACAAGATTACTTTCATACATTCACTAGCTAGATCTACTTGTATACTACTATTTTCTGTGTCTGACCATCGTTAGTCATTACCTTGGATAGTCATTCTAATTTCAACACTGCACATACTGAAATCTTTAAGATTTAAAAAAAAAAACTTTGCAAATTTTATCCATATTTCAATACAAATATACCATAAATCAAATCAATTGTCTTGCCAATCCTCAATACTCCAGGGGTTACGATCACTTTTTCTCTCTGCATCCCTGGAACATGTCATGCCAAAATTGAACATTCCATGAGCGACACGTTGTAGACAAGACAAAAAGACTAGTTTGATCCTTTGATATACAACAAACGAATCTCAAGGTCACATAAAGATATATTGTAAAGGCTTTGAAGATGGGTGTCTCTCCTAAGTAATCTTCAAAAGGAGTGTATCAGCATGTGATTGGTCAGGTTTTTTCTCCTGGATCTATTTAGATTACTTTACTTGTGCCTTCGACTTTGCCATGACATGTTCCAAGGGTGTAGATAGCAAAAGTGATCATAACCTCTGGAGAATCGATGATGTGTCTTACCTGTAATGCTTAATCAATATAGGTACTTTGAAAGGAAAATGCAGTATACACTAAATTTCATGTCTATATAGTGGATTCAGATGTCATTACATACAGTGTACTACTATATTCAAGGTTTGATTGAGAACAGGATTCACACTTGAACTTCATGAGAAATTATGGTAAATTATGAAGCTGAGCTCCTCAGTTCATAAGTTTGATTAAAGAAAAGTACCAACATAGTCTTACTTCAGCAATACTACTTATGGGCGAGGCAAAAACAGATTTTTGATTAATTTGTGTCTAAATTAGCTACTCAGTATTGTGGTTAATTTAGTCTTCTTTGTTGTATTATTGAGGGATTGTTGAAATATCTTGCCTGTCAAATCTATCTTCATTTCTATCATCTCTGAGAGAAGAGCGAGCAGCTTCCCTGTCCCGGATATCTGACCTGCCAAGGTCCTTTCTGTTGTATCTTTCTATCCGTCTGTTGTCATAGGCATCTCTGTCTAATCGTGCATCATCATACCGAGTGGGGCGTAAATCACGAGAGTCAATATCTCTGTAGCTGTGGAAACAGTTTGTTAGATATTTCGTGAAATATGAAATATCATACCACTCACATTGATTAATCTTGAAAATGACAATCTGCAGCATATCTTATACATCCTACATAACATTACTCATGCTACAACCAGTTCAGATTTACCTTTGAGTATAAGGAAACAAAAGAACAGGTCGCTGATTGACTATGCCAGTGCCCAATATCAAGTGATCACTGAAAAGTTTGAAATCTACTACACAGTGAGTTAGTCAAGACATTTCTATTTAGATTAACATCATAAACCTTCACAATCTACTGGTGAAATATGTTGACATAAGCTCTGTAGGGACACCTGACATATAGATAAGGTTATGGAAAATTAGCACATATCAAAATCTTGAACCATGATCATGTTTCTGTACATACCGATCTCGTTGAAAAGAATCTGACATCAAAGATCTTTTGTTGTCCAACCATTCATCTTCAATAGATCTTTCAAACATACGCTTCAATGCTCTTCTGTCCCTCTCTTCTTCCAGTCTGTCCAATTCAAATCAATACAACATCTGTAAGATGACACACCTCACAGGAACCTTTTTAAATTTTAGTTTCAAATTGATTTTGTACTCTACTTGAAAAGCTCATCAGTATCATTCTGGTGATTAGCCTAATAATAACATGTTTCTGCTTTTACACTGTAACATTCTTATACCAATGCTAATGATAAATGCACAATTAATACATCTGGTTTTACCTTAAACGTTCCAGTCGCAGTCTCTCAGTCCTCTCCCTGTCCTGCTTGTCTCTCTCCAGCTGTTCTAATCGTAAAAATTCTCGTCTCTGAGCAGCAAGCCTTTCTCTTTCCAGTCGCTGCCTCTCTCGTCTAAATATTCAAAGTCAAAATCAGTAAGTGATGATGCATCTTATATATGATAATTTGAAAATCTATCACAGGCAATAATAAGTTATACTTAGTATCCCACTTGCCACCAGACCAAAGGTTTATTTTCACACTTCAAGGGTATAATACTGTGTATGGTTCCAAAATTAACATGCCAGGAAATATGAATAGTGTTCCCAGCACTACAATAATTCTGTTCTAGCATCAGAGAATTTCCTAGATCTATTCTGGCTTTCAGTCTGAGCCAATTCTCTAATCTTTTCAAGAACAAGAACTGAAAAACATACAACTGTTTTTACAGTTCCCAATCATACTATTATGAAGGAGGATTCAATTGAATAAACAACCATATACAAACAAAAACAAGGGTAATCACATGCTTTTAATCCCAACACTTTTTGTCCGAGATGTGATTTGTTGTTTAAAGTCTTTAAAATCAAAGTGAAATTCATCTTAAAGCTGACAGTTTGATAAGAAAGGGCATTTAATCTTGCCACAAAAATTCCATTTTAAAGATGTCATAATACAGTATTGATAAATATTTCAGTATTTAACAGCTTGTCCTACCTGAGTTTTTCTCGTTCCCTAGATAATTTCAATGACTCCATCCTTTGTCTTATATGAATATCTTTCTGTCGTTTCTTTTCTTGATATATCTCTTTCCTCTTAAGATCTTCCTGTAAAGACTTTCGCTTCTTCATTTTTTCCCACTCCTTTATCTTTTCTTCCTAAATTGAGGGAGAAAATGACAGATTCTTAATTTTAAAAACAAATTTGAATTGGTATATGAACACTCCTGATGGAATACAAGGAGAATAAGACAAGGCATTCCAGAAGGGTAAGCATCTTCTAATTCATTGACGACACCTGCCATGTAAATCTTGGTCAATCCAAGTAAGCAATGTTACGTTCCCAAATGAGAACAAGAAAATTCTAATAGATGTAACTTTATATTTGTATTCCATTATATAACTAATGTTAGTCTGCAGAAAATGAGCTAAATCAAAAAGCTTATATACATTGAAGTTGGCAAAATTATCTGTATAAAATTGTGGTGATTGGACTTCCTTTATTCCTTTACTTTTCATCACCAATCTTGGAGGACATCCTTCAAAGCTAATGCTATGAATGTCAGCACACTATCATTAATAAATTTGAAAATTAAGGCATTCATTGAATTTCTATATCCAGCACTTCACTATACATTTGAATATAATTACATACTTAACATTGGTTTCTGATTTTTTCTTATCAAAATGTTTTCTGAGAAAATATCAATATCATTTACATATATCTTGTATAGTTGCATTTTTCATTATATGAAACATACCTTCATCTGATCAAATGGAACAATACCCTTCTCAGAGCTTTTAGACTCTGAAGAGGCTTTTTCATCTCCACTTTTCTTTTCAGCACCATCTCCTGTTTTTGCTTCAGTTTTCTCCTCTGCCCCTTTCCCATCAACATCACTACTATCCTTTGATGGTTCTCCAGTAATTTCAGCTTCTCCTGTCTTCTCAGAAGAACTAGATGCTTCCGGTTTCTCCTTTTTCTCAGGTTTTGAACTGGAAGCTTTCTTCTCACTTTCCTTCTTTACTGGTGACTTATGTGACTTGTCACGGGAGCTGGAAGGCCTGTGGTCCTTTGAGGAGCCAGTACCAGAAGATCTTCTGTACTTTGAGGAATAGCTAGAACGACTCTGGTGACTTGAACGTATGCTGGTGTGATGTGAGCTGCGTGGCCTGCTACTCGATGATACTCGACTCATTCTGCTGTCTCTGTGTGTGTTACCATGGGACCTGTTTCGGTCACCTGAAAAATACAAAACAATTACATTTACATCTATAACAATACATTATCAAGTTAAAAACAGAATTGGCCTTATTAATTTTACAACAATTGCATAACAAGTTACTACAAATTAAATGAGTAATTTTTGTTGGCACAGAAGAGGGCATACAAGGTGTCTTACAGTAGGAGGTAACTGGAGTATCTCGAGAAGTGACCCCATACATTTTCACGTCTGTTCGAGGAATCAGAAACCAGATATCAAAGTGAAAGGCTACTGTGTTAGCACTGTGCCATCTGAGATTATAAAGTTCTTGTATTGTACTTAATAATACAGTAGATTATCTAAATATTTCAGTCAGGGTTTTCCATAATTTTGTTAGTAGTAGGCTGTATAGTGAATGTAGGAGGCTGGCCTGCCGTGTACGTGTAGTCGCGTACGGAACATTATTATGGAACTGGATTGGTGTAGACGGCCAAATGATCAAAGTAGCCGGTCAAATTGGCCGGCAACCGGCTCTCATGGAAAACCCTGTTAGTTTCCTATTTTTTAGACACACTGTTACAATGACTTTTAAACTGAAAAAAAGCATGTAAAACACTTTCAAATTTTAGTTATTCCAAAACTAAAGAATAGACTGGAAGTCCCAGAGGAATCTGACCTTCCACCACTGAAAGATCATGGGGTAACAAAAACTCTTTACAAATGGACTGTATAATAGAGGTCAAAGAGGTCATATCACATCTTTTACCTAGATGAATATGGAACTTAAATTGAATTGAATTGATTGAATAACAAATGCAAAAATTTAAAAGTAAGAGAAAAAGCAATAACAAACATGTGGCAATTTAAATATTCCACCATCTGATGATGGTGGCTGAAACACATGTTGAAGTGAGAATAGATATTGCAGTACATCAAACCCCATCTGAAAGTCTGGGATGTTAATTTTGAGCCGAACTTTTGGTAAACAGATACTGCTGTGTTCATTTTCTGATTATATTGTTGTTTTGTCTCTGGGGTAAAATGATGGACCCATGTTTTATCAATAGTCACAAACCTATGCAGAACGTTAGCAAGAACTGCTTCTGAAAGGTTCAGATTAGAGTGTGACAAAGACTGCTTGATATGTTTCTGATCAACTGCCAGAAGTCTCGGTACCAAACTGGCAGAGAGTTTTCTCATTGCAAGATCTTCCTTAAAAATGGAGGGTACACTTTCCTGTGTAATCTCAACTGTATTGGCTATATACCTCTATAACTTGCCTGTCAGCCATAGCTATATCTTGGGACTTTATTGACCATTTCTGCAACAGTGACAGGCCTTCCAGGATGGGCATTATCCCCAAGGCTCTACCTGCCATGCCACCCACCTTTTCACAGTAGTATATGAAAGGACATCATTCCTAGTGTTGCTACCATATCAGTTTGGATATCCTTAGGTGCTAGACCTTCCTTACGCAAATATTGAATCACTGCTCTTTCAGCGATTTTGTCCATTTTTCAAGTCATTTGCTTGTTTACTCAGTGCTATTTCTTCAACATAAACGTACCAAATGACACCAGTCTTTGGGCACACTGCCTTAAATAGTCAGGGGAAAGTAGAGCTAAAAAAGGGACATCCCTGCTTAACTTCTTCATCACAATGCTAACAACTTATCAATTAGCCCTCGTACTCTGGTCCATGCATAAATGTGCTCTTCAATAAGCTTCAACAATAGGATATAAATCAACTGTCAAAGAGAGGTCATGGTGGTCATTTTCCAGTTTGATTCATTGTCTGTTGAGACATATTAATGAAAGGCTGGTCTCTCAGTTATCTTTATAAAAATACAGATTTCAACAGCTGTCGGTAATCACCTGAATCTCTTTGAGTGCTGTCATTGGTTGACCGAGGTCGATAAGATCTTCGTTCTGTGATCTTTCTCTTATTTCTATCTTGGTCTTTCTTTTCTGCACTCTCTGTCTTTTTATCTATGAAATATTGAAATAAGATTAATAGTGTCAATAACACATTTATCTTTGAGGTGAATTCAATAATTTCAATTTCAAATACCTTAAATTTGTTATAACATGAAGAAAGCCATGAATATTTCAACAAACGTGCATTATCCTATAGTGTCTAACTTCATATATCTAACATAAGTAACCACATACCTGCTGTTTTCTCATCAGACTTTTTTGCAGTGTTCTTTTTAGGTTCTTTCTTGGTCTAAAAATGAAAGTGTTTATTTCATATTTAGCATTAGAGTAGCCAACAAACATTTAAGAATGAAGTTTGTTGTGTAAGAGATTTTATCTCTGACCAGTTTCATCCCTTGGTTTGCAGAAAGTGCTTCAAAATATGAATGACTCTTCTATTTAAAGCATCTTATTTATTAATTTTCAATTTGATAAGAACTTATTTCTACAATTAATTTTTGTCCATTCACTCACCACTTGTATAACATATTTGCCCTGTATCTTTGTTCCATTAAGGTGCTGAACACTGTCAGAGGCTTCCTTTGATGTTGACATAGTAACAAAACCATAACACTTAGCACCACTGATTTTAGAACTAGCCAGAACTTTGGTTACCATCACCTGTAAATTCAAAAGAGTGTGTCAAACAAAGAAAAATAGTTTATCTTTCATCAAATATACAAAGGTCTGAACATCTATACTAGGATTTGATATCAATAATCCAGACATTTCCCATTTCTATACTCCATTTCATACAGAGAAACCGATGTACTGGTTCATGTGTATCATTTTCATAGCTATGTTAATTTGATATCCATAAGTAAATAACTAAAAAGTGGAAAATACAAAGGAACTTAATTGGTGTACCATTGTGACATTATTTAATAAGCTTAAATGTTACAAGTCAAAACATAATATATTGAAAATGAACAAGTCACAGGTTTGATTATGAAATAATTGAACAATGCCCACCTTTCCATATTTGCTAAATAATGTCTTGAGGTCTGCTGCCTTTGTTGTGGATGGAAGACCACTCACCCATAAATTGCGACTGACGCTCTCTAGAATTTCAGAAAATAACTTTGTTACATGATCTATAATAATGATATAATGTGCAGTATTTATTACATGCAGTTCAATGTTCTCATACTAATGCTGTGTCCTTCCATTTCAAATTTAATGTATATATCATGCAAATGCTGACTTAAAATGACTTATCAAATTGCAGAGCTTAACCTTCAGAAAATGAATTCAATTTTGTTTCAATTTTTTGAAAGATTACAGTTATTATATTACTGACCGGTTTTTTCGTTACTCTTGCTTTCTGATGGCTTTGAACTGAAAGTAAACAAAGAAGGAGATCAGTACTGAGGTAAACATGATATATGCCCTCTGATAAGAAGATACACATACAGTTCTTTAGCACAAAACTTCCTCACAAAAACCTGCATATTTAGGAAAACAAATCAGCATTTACTAACTCAAGTATGTTAATCATCAACAGGCAAAGGAAAGAAAAGAATTTTTGAAAAAGGCAGGATATTTATGTCAGAAATGAAATTATGACATAAAGAAACCAGACAAGCTGGCAAATATTAGCACATTCAGCACATCATAAAAGGAGATTTAGTATCAGATTTGAAATTGAGACAAAAAATTGTAAGTGCAACAATTGAGTGTAACAGTAGCAAACATCATTTTTTGGATATATATATTTTTAGTTGTGAACTTGTAATAGTGTAAATGGTTTTGTTATCGGAGCACGAAACTTCCGATGGTTGTGTTGTGGAACCACTTTTGTAGCAGGTCTACAATACCAGCATATGCACAATAAACCTATCAGTATCAGCTTAAAATGACATGACATTATCTTTATCATAGGGTGGCACAGAGAATTGGCATATTTTTGTAAGCCCACTAAGCAGATCAGGGTCAGGGTCAAATAATCATGATGTTTTCAATTTGAGATCGAGTCATCACTGAACTGATTTCTAATGATATGATATACCAGGATAAGATTGAAGCATGAATCATTTGTTTATACACTATACAAAAGCCAATGGGCACACTGATGCACAAAAGGTACTGTAGGTATATCACATCCACTGGATTGGTAGCTTGACCTTTAATAAAAGATCTATTGCTTGCCTCTATTAAGACCAATTAATGAGTTAAATAGCATCAGCATATCAATTAGTTGATCAAAATGTCAATTCTGATAGGGAGTGATTCAGCTATTTGCAACCAACATCAACTTACCAAACAATTAAGAACTACTTCAAATTTGACATCTGCCGATATATTACAAGTTTGCTATATTTGTTGCACTCACATTGTTCATTTTTTTTATCTGACTTAAAAAATGAAAAGATGCTATATTGTAGTAGGTATGAGTTATAATATTTTTTGTTCTCAATTGAGATTCAAATTTCTATATCTCCATACCTATGTTAGAATTCTGCAACAATTCAAAAACAACACAACTGTGGTAAGATAGTGTGATGCCAAAATACAAATGATGTTAATCTAAAAAGTTAGAAAACTTCAAAGAGATTTTAAAATTTGTTCTACTATTATGCCTGAAACAAAACATCCAATATTATACAAAGTAAAAATACACCAACATTTTACATGAAAGTTTTAACATTTTTACAGCTACAAGAAATGTTTGAATACAAACCGAACCGACCTCTTGGTATCAGACTGAGATTTGTTGGCATCTTCTTTCTTTGCTTCTTTATCGTTACAAGAGGCGGTTTTGTTAGCAGATGTAACAGTATTGTTCTCTTGGGAAGTTGCACTTTTTTCAGCATTACTTTCAAGCTCTAAGGACAGTTTCTTATCTCCACCAGCCAATTCCATCTCACTGTTATCTAAACCCTTCTCTCCTTCCTGATCAGCTGATACGCTTATTGACTCCTGCTCCTTCTGGGAAGTCAGAAGATCAGCATCTAAATCATTCTGAGGGTCTTCTACCTGCAGAACATCACTTTCTTCTGCAATGTCTTCTGATGTATCAGCTGTATTTACATCAGCTGTGCTGTCAGTCTTATCAACCTGCTGAAATTCTGTCTCCTCCACAGGTTTCTCAGCCTCTTGCACCTCACTTACAGTTACTTCTATAGGAATGGACACATCATTTCCAGAACTGCTTGCTGCTTTGTCTTTAGCTTCTTCTTCATCACCACCATCAACATTACATGGAGCTGTGTCAACATGTGCTAGAGAAATTCAAATCACGACTTAATACCACATCATCAAAGCATCAAAATATCAAACATAAATCTATCTTTATGTTATGAACAGAAGAGATTATCTTATATCTTGAATATCATAACTGTAAATTAATCTATTAAAAAAGATAATAAGCTGGTATATGGACAGATTTCCAAACAACACATGATGAACAAACTCAAGCTGCAAATACTGGAAACTTCATCAGCCTTCATCCTCATCCCAACAGCTGGAAAACTTGGAAAACAGTTTTCATCATCTCTTTCTGAGAGGTGTCAGGCATCTACAAATATCGTCTCATAAAAGGACAAGCATATTCTCCATGGCTTCATGTACAGATCTTTTCTGGTGCCGTTATCTCTCCCACCATCACAATTCCAGTGGTGGGATATGGGAAGTGATAGCAGATTGCTGTTAATTTTCAAAGCATTACGACGAGAACAAATTTGGTCATCTGAAGTTTGTTGAAAATTCAACAGTTAACAAATCAAGTGTGATAAAGTGCAACAATTTTTACATTGACAAGATATATCAAGTTAAGATGCAGACAATGGAACATAAAAAGTCATCTCATTTTCAAATAATGAGTCAGTAAATATTTGTTCAAAAAGTAAACACAAATCCCCAATATACCCCTATTTTGAAGTTGTCAAAAGACGAAAAAACTGAGCACCTCATCACTTGCTTTGAATAGCCAGGGGTGTAAAAAAGGTTTTCAAAGTACTTGTCCAGTGCAAGTAGATTCAAGTTTAGTTACCTGAACATGATTTTCACTGGCCCAATAAAATACTTATATAATTATTGATAAAGCTGCAAAATGTACCAAATTCTGGAAATGCTTACTTAGTTTCTAACATAGAAAGATTTATGTATTCCTCAAAAAAGTGATTATTGTCAAATGTATAACAGAAGTCTGAAGCAGTCTGGGAGTAAATCTCTTAATTAGAAGTATTTTGTAAAGGATGGAATACTAATGATAAGTAAGAATTTCCATTTAAAAGAATATCAAATTCCCATCACCTGCAGCTTGGGGAATGCAGAAAACCAATGTATGTAAGTGTTGTGATATTAATGCCAATATATTGCAATTCCTTAGACAAGTCTACAAACTTTTTGCAGTTAAGTGCATCAGACAAGTAGGATTTTACACCCCTGAATAGTATTAAGTATTTTCAAATAATTCAAACAAATTCACACCAGAATCAACAATATGCCAACAATAACCAAAAGGATAAATCTGTTTTACCTTCTAATCCAGATTCTTGTTTAGAATTGATATCGTCAACCTCCACCTACAACACAAAACATCTTGTTAAGTCTATGAATGATATATACCTCAGAAGTTAACCATCCACAGTACTTCCTTTTATAAGTTATCAATCATAGATAAAAAAACTTTGTTTTGAAAATGTATATATCCCTTTCAATTTCTTATGTATAGGTGAATGTGATTCACATTCAACTCACCATATCCTCATTTATTTCAATAAACTCTTCACCAAGCTCATCTTCTTGGAAGTACTCGTTTTCCTGTACATCTTCTTCCTACAATATAAAATGATAAATTGTAGTAGGCTATTATTTTTTGTTTTGGGGTAGGGGTGGGAGAAGAAGGATATGTCAGTGGTTTTAAATGAAGACATGATAAACAACCAATATTGTTTCAATGGTTAAGAAACTGATTTGGAGAATGTCCAGCAGAAGATGTCTCTTTCCCTGACCAGTGCATCACTCCAGCTTATATTAGATTTGATGAAAATATGAATTAAAATATTTTTCCTTTTTTTATTTGAACTGAACTATTGTTTAAATGTTCACTTTTCAATATATCCATTTTTCCTGGCGATGAATAAAAGTGTCATAGAATAGCTGATATCATATTGGCCAAGCCATAAGGCCTTGGTCTGTCATGATGGCTTTTGGCCTTATAACTGGGTGAAAATGACATGTACAAGAGCTGATGGATAACAAATATTATCATAAAGTGTAATTTCAATAGAATCCTGCATATGAAATCCAAGAAAGACTGAATGGAAATTATTTGGGAGTTGGGACCAATGATGAGGAACCTACACATCGAGTGTGAAAAATATAATTCCAGAACTTCTCAAGAAATAGTGATCACAAACTTCAACTGTCAAAATTAAAGATAGCTGCCAGTTGGCCATTTTCTTTCACTGATCCATCACAAAATAAAATAGGCATTGCTAGGGACCATGGGGAGTAGTTAAATAATTTTGAGAAATATTCCTCCAGTACTTCTCAAGAAATTGAAATGAAAATCTTTTACTTGTAAAAATCTTAGACGGTCGCTTGATAAAGGGGAACTTACAAATGAAGATTAAGAAATAGCTATTTAATACTTTACAAGATACAGTGATTGTTTACAGATGAACTGATAGTGGATAGATACCAGAGCACAGACAAAAGGGCTAAAAATAAAAGATGTATATCAAGTTATATCTAAAAATATTCAGTTATGCACATCAAACTGTTTACTAATCCACTTGAAATTACCAAAAATAATCTTCATATTTGCACATTTATTTGCAAGACAATTATTTATTACCTGTATCTGATCAGCTGTCACCTGGTCCACCACCTCCATATCTCCATACATCAGGTCCAATAATGATTCCTCATCAGCTGCGTTCTCTTGCTCCCCATCTGGGGCTTCAGGAGAAGTTGTATCCACCACTTCCTTAAAATGTGGAATGAATACCTCTTTTAATATTGTAATTGATGTATTAGATTTTGCTATACATTATCAAAAACCATGACAATCTTTCAGGGAAAGATCTCATTTCAAATGATTTTTGCAGCCAGCTGGAGTGTTACATCAGTTTCTATTTCAGGGAGGAAAATCATCAAATATATTCACAAATCAGTGGAAGTCACTCTCTACCTATTGACTCTCAGAATCTGTAATTGCATCACCACCAAATTAGTAGTTCTGAATAGCACTGAATAATAACCAATTGACAAATTTGTGATTCTAAATTAAATGAAGGTGTATGGATGATTGGACAGATTAAAGTACTTGCTTGTGCTATATCATCGAAATATTTGCATATACAAAACAGCTCTTGCATCCACAGCACAAATGGATTGAGATATGAAATCAATGATTGCCAGTAATGAAAACTCTTATCTTTTAATATCACATGGGCTTGCTGTTTTACAGTATTCTCAACTATGTTATGCATATGCATAATCAGAACCCAAGTGAGCCATCTTGGTCCAACAGAAATTAGTTGATTACTCTGTCAAATTCAAGTTTAAGATCTTGGCCAGCGGCATATGGAGTGCCTATACATAGGTGAGGCAAATGGAGAGAAATCATCTTTGAATGGTAAGCAGGTCTATTTATCAATCACAGAACATAATGAGATACAAACCAGTTACCACAATTCTATAAGACAAACTAAACTCATCTGTCCATGACAAACAACTCAACATCATACCCTACCACATAACTAATACCATAATTGAAATCCCAAATAAGTCTTGTAAACATACAAACACTGACACACTGTATCAATATCTTTATTCTGACCTTGGGTGGGATGTTTAAGTTTTACTGGCACCAGATACCAGATACCTGCATTGACCTAGTCAAATATTGCAACAACAGGACAAGACTAAACACTACAGGTATCCAAGTTTCTTTTTATAACACACAAGGATAACTCAAAAACATATATTCAAAAGCAAGTTGCATTAAAAAACAATTGTTGATTACTGGAAAATCTTCGGAGCCAAACAGGTTAGTTACTCTGAACAGTACAGATAACAAGTTGACCTGGGGATATCAATAACTGTTACCAGCTATGCATTAGCATACCAGAAGCCATACATGTGCAATCCAGGAAATCATTATTCTATCACTTTCTTTGTACAGTGATCAATCTACATCAGGGTTTCCTATAATTTTGTTAGTAGTAGGCTGTGTAGTGAAAGTAGGAGGCTGGGTGAAGCAAGCAGACCTAAGCCGCAACGCGGCGAGGTGGGGGTGGCCTGTTGTGTACGTGTAGTCGTGTACGGAACATTATTACGGAACTGGATTGGTGTAGGCGGCCAAATGATCAAAGAAGCCGGTCAAATCGGCTGGCGACCGGCTCTTATGGAAAACCCTGCTACATTTTATTTCCGTGAGTCCTTTTCAACTTTATTGCTAAATACAATGGGTCCTGCATTGTAAAATTGAAGTACTTTCAAAAATTCTTTGAATCCCATCAAAATTCAGTTTCAAGAATGGCAAAATAAACCATTTGCTTTTTTAACGTTACATATTTACCAAAATGGCCATTTGACATCGAAGAACGATGTTTATTTCGTCCCACTTTTCTCCATTCCAGTAATCCCTACCCTCATTCAATTTCGGTAAATAGCCTGTTCACATTGCGACAACTAGAGTACAGTACTGTTGTTTGTTTCTTCGTTGCTAAATCTTTTTAAAAAATTAACCAAATCACGTGGTTCACATCAATTTATCTTGAAAGTTATCGAACAAACCGAAAAGTAATGAAAGGAATGTTCCCCCATCTACCGCGTCAAACCGAAGTAGACCTAACAGGCGACGGACGACTTCAGTAGATCGCGATCGTCCGCCATTGTGATTTAAGCCAATGCGCTGACGACCATGAAAAATAAACCAGGCTAATTCATGGTAGAATTCCTATTTCAGGAAGGTAGTCTGAAAATATCACATTGTGAAATTCAATTCGATTTATATTAAGCTTTAACGTACACATATTTTACTTCGATAACATACCAAATCATCCATCAGCAGTTCTTCGTCAGCCATATTGCCTCGAAGTGTCCGCTTTATTTAGGGCAGATACTAAAATTAAGACAGAGAATTACCGTGCAGAGTACACTGCCTCTAGCGATAACGTGTGACCTCAGTTGGGAATGAATAAGATGTCATTCTTTTTTCTGTTATCATTTTCATATTTATGTCCATTCGTATAATATGAAACTATACAAATTCTGATGGAAAGCCAACTTTCAATTTAAAAAAGTTACATTTCTAAAATTATATCACCAGATACCTACTGCGGTTCTACTATGGTTTTAATTTTGACAAAGACGCCACATTCATGATTTTTAGACTAACAGCAGCAAAATTTGCTTAATGATATCGGTGCTTAATGATATTGATACCAATTTTTCCATGAGATAAGCAATAGTAATAACTCCTTCTTAAAATAACACAATCTGATTGTTCTGCTTGACTTTTGTTTGATTCTCGGCTACACTGCATACGATAGGCCTGTGAGGTCATGTCAGTCGCGTTCCTATCATTATGAAGTCCCAATTTTCTCCCGGAACTTCAGAGTAATAAAGTAAATTAAAAAAAAAAACATTGATATTCCTGTTTCCAATTTCTAAATTTACTTTTAAATTATAAACAGAAAGATAGCGGATAAGTACCGTTTTTCAAGCTTTGTTTAAAAAAAACTCCAAATAAATGTATTATTGGAAAGGCACCCGATGCGTTACGAATGATAACCTGATGTAATCTGACGTTATGGTCTATGCAACAGTAATAACTACTTGATTGAACTGCGTATATCATAGCTATCATTTATCCGATACCTCCCGAAAGAATGCAGACAAACAATCCGGATGATGTTCGGGAAAAGTGATGGTGTCATTTACTGCTTTTGAATTAAGTTCATCAGTATCGACAAAGGTGTATTATCCCGTTTTTATGAATTGAGTATTAACAGCTTTAATCGCATCCACTTCATCTCAACACGTCACAGTCGAACACTACATTGATAGTGAAAGTACCGATGTAAACAATTAGTCCTTCCCGATTCCAACAAAGTAGAGACAATATCATTGGAGGAGAAAAGACTCGGAACTAGGATGATTTTGTTTTTGTAATAATAGCATTTTTATTCGTGTAAAGTATGCTACAAATACCCATACCATAATGTTTAAGTGATTCCCAAATGAGTGACGGTTATTTTATCTTGTATATCTAACTCGTTAGTTTAATTTTCAGATTTAGAAAAGACACAATCTTTAGTGAGTCTCATTTCCAAAAGTTGAAAATTAGATAACGTTAGCTAGATAAACACTTGTAAAAGGATTGGGTTGATTTGGCGTGGCTAATACAGTGTTAAATAAAGTGTCTGTCACTCAGGCGATGAAGCATGCTTCTTTGGCTCAGCTGGTCGATTATCATGCTGCAGACTCAGGTTTGACTCCTGGTCGGGGCACTCAACACTAAGTACTGTCCTGTACCCAATTTCATTGTACATACAGTGCCACTGGGTGTTGTGACGTATATGGATTTCCCTACTACTTTATTTTTACAATCGGATATTTGACCTGGTCTACATATTCTAATATCCATGCAGGATTAAAGGCCATTGCCCATTTTTTTCCCCAGAGTACTACGCTATTCAAGTTGTGATGTAGGATTTTGGCATCACTGTAAGATTTGATGATTAGGTATGCAATAGTATAGTCTGCTCCACAGGGATCTCATTGAAGTGAATTATTGAGACGTAAACAGGGTTTGAGGACTGATCCCTGCAGAACACCAGAGTGGACATCAACAAAATTTTATATGTCCCTTTCTACTACTACTGCTTGTATTTTACCAAGCAAAATCTTCTAGTTAAGTTGGTGATTATATTTGTTAATCATGAATGTTTTTTCAAGATAAATAATTAGTATGCCTTTAAGGTGTCCTTTGAGATTTGTTTAGAGACATTATCAACAAAGTTTAAAAGTAGAAAGTTTCCTTACTATCATGATTTATGAAATCTGTGACAGTGCTGGCACAGTTTTTAGCTCACCTGGTTCTCAAACCAGTGGGCTTCTTGTTTTGATTAATTTAGATGACACAATTTCAGTAAACTCAACTTATGAGCGATACAGGTCCTTTGGGCATCTTGTTTGAATGGCCAGTTGGTCAAGGAGATGAGAGTACAGATCACGTTCACATTACTATTCATAACTAGTGGGATTTCCCTTAAGTCAAGCAATAGATTGCCTGAGTAGAGACAGAAACCAACAGGAACAGAACCTGTTTTTCAGTACTCATTCCTACTACACTAGTACCAGTAATTGAAATTACATAATACAATTTTAATTTTTATGTAAATAAATGGGGAAAAATTATTTAAGGATATAATTGATCATTCAGCATCAAAATTCTGTTACACAAGGTATTTCATTTAATAAAGTCCTGAATTTATCATGACAATATAAAAAATATTGATTGTTCAACAGAAATAACAACCTAGTTTTTAGATCTGTGAACAAGGTATAGTGCTATTACTGTAATGTATCAATAACTGGCCTCCTTCTCTACCCCGGGCTGATATTAAAATGGTCATATGCCTTGTGATAGAGTAAGCCTCTTGTGATAGATGTGTAAGGAAGTGCTTTTTGTATAATTTATGAACACATCCGTACTGAATAGATATCCACAAAAAACTGAATAGAAATACTTACAAAATTTTAAAGAATGATTGTGATATTGTCCAGAGGAATTTTTGGGATTGCTTTTTGAAGTGAAAGGTCAAAAGATAGTGGTCACTGTTACTATGAATAGAAAATTTGTTTCCATACAATAATTTGAGTTCTCATGAACCAATCAAACTCATTCTGTGCACACTGCTTTCTTGAACAAATGTGCATGGTGTTTTTGGATTGCTTTTCAAGTTAGAATGTTACCCAAACGTAAGACCGTCTTATTATAAGTAGAAGATGCATTTTGACACAACTCAAGTTTCCCTAAACTAATCAATCTCAAAAATTAGAAAACATTCCCTGGACAGTCAGTAGTATCCATCAATGATATCTTGTTTTGATAGCATTAGTTATATAAATTAAGAACTTTTGATTTGGTACATTGACAGCCATGGACTGAAATGACTTTATTGCTCAGACAAGAAAGTAAAAGCTAGGTATATGAGGCTTTGAGTATTCACCAGTTTCATTTCTGTATGAAGATCTGATCACTCCCTTCTATTTGTTTCAGACTAAATAATTACTCAGTATGCAACACGGCAACACTCAGCCATCTGAGGATGGATGGAAGGAAGATAAGACTCTTGGCTCTGGAGGATTTGGTACAGTTATTTTGTGGAAAAATTTGGTATGTTGCATTTTCAGCTCACTTAGCCCTTTCCAAGTAAGCTAATGTCAGTTATTGCATCCACAGCCATCCATCTGTTCATCCTCTTTTCCTACAAATAAGTGCAAGACATGGATGATCGAGCAGATTTCAACAAGTTGGGTCAGAAGTTCCCTCAGGGGTCTGAGGGGCAGAGCCAAAAAGGGGGAAATTTTAGACATTCTTTAAAACCCTTTTCCTTCTATAGGAATGATTAGATTTTACTCAGATTTGGTCTTAAGGCATTCTTGGGCAAAAGGAAATCATTTTGTATTAATGATGGGTCTCGCCCTCCTGGAGCAGGGATACAGCAAATTCTATAAAATTATTCTTATTCTTTAGGAATGATTGAAGTTTGCCCAAATCATCTTAACATGAAGGAAACTGAATTTTGTGTAAACAATGCATCTGACTTCCAAGGGATAGAGGGGCAGGGCTTAGGAGGGGAAATAGATATAAATCTTTCAAACTCGTTTCATTTAATTATTTAGATTAAGCAATTTTAGCAAACTAAACTAGGTGAGCAAAACAGGCCCTATGAGCCTCATGTAGTTAGTCTGTCAGTTGGTATGTTGTTATTAAGTTTTTCTGATTCTTATCTGATATCAATGCATGTCTATAGTTTGTGTAGTGTTGAGTCAATAAGTTCAAGGTAAAATCCAAAAATTTTCTGGACCAAATGATGCATTTTGTGTATAAAAACTAATTCTCTTACAAGTGGTAATGAAAAAATTGGGTGTGTGATGGTATTTATTATAGGAAACAAATGAAGCAGTAGCCATCAAAAGATGTAGAGTTCAAAATGAAATGACACCAAAGCATCGTCAACGATGGACTATGGAGGTAGATATTATGAAACGTCTTGATCATCCCAATGTGATCTCTGCACGAGAAGTACCACCACCTTTGGATGTGAAAGAAAATGAGCTGCCTCTGCTCGCTATGGAGTATTGTGCTGGAGGTGATCTCAGAAAGGTATCAACTCAATATATAAAGTTAAGACCTTCTAATAAATATTTATCAGCTCAAGTAAATTCAACAGGGAAATGTTTTAATTATTTAGATAATGCATTGTATATCCAAAATATGTATAATTAATGGAATTATAAAGGAACAAATGATTTTTTTAAAACAATATTTCTGGAACTTAACCCCAGACTTGTCTCTCTTCAGTGTCTAAGAACTTTGTGTATCAAACAAATGTTCAATTGATGTTTTTCACATCAGTGTGAAGATGTATGATTGTACATTTTAAACAATCCATCATAAACTATTGATTATGAAGGATGAGTTCCTAAGGGTGAATTAGACATGACTAGTTCTGTGCTGAGACTGCTACAGACACAGAATCATTCAATACAATTTTTGGGTTGTCTCAAAGAAAAAAAACCCCAAACGGTAAGCCTAAAGCTATACAATGAATGCTTACACAATGAATACAGACAGGTACTACACTCGACAAGACACATATACTGTATGTTGTTGGTTAGATATAACAAACTAAAGTAGTAAACATTGATATATAATGACATACAGTTACAGGTTAAAAATTACGATGTGAAAACCCATTAACACAACAAAGCTGAAAATATGTAAGGTCACTACACATGCCAATCATTGATCCATGTAAATTTATCGGAATTGCTGCTGTCAAATAACAACTTGATTTCACAAAACTTTTGTCTTCCTTCTAAATGCTAATACAGGTTTTTTGTCAACTGCCTTGACAAATTTCATAGCGCAGATGGTGCCAGCTAACAAAATGCCCTATAGAATTTAAATTCATGGACCTAAATGCTGAGCTTTCACTCAATGTGTGTTGCATGAGTATGCAATTAAATTTTCAACGCAATCACTGACAGCGAGGTTGTTTCCATGTTATTTCTGGTCTTGGCATCAAAAGAGGATACTTATTCTGAAAATCACAATATATAATTCATTTGTTGAAAAACAAAAGCTGCTTTTTCGGATAGATATCAGGAATAAACTTTAATACCTGGGCATCTTTTTGTTGCCTGAGAAAGCCACTGTTGCTTTTCACTTATGATATGATCCTCAGGAATTTTTTAGGATGCATCCATGTATGTGGAAGAAGTGCATCTTTGCAGAGAACTTGAGGTGTCTATAAGTTCTCCTTGGGGATGTCAGTTCTGGCTGTGTGTCTAGATCCATGACAAGACTAGTTTGGACATCACAGATTGAAAAATTGAAAGAAATGTATACTCATGTTAACACCATTGTGGAACCACTCTTGAAAGCCTGGATGGAAGCATATTGGGGTCTTTGGGTGAAAGTAAATTTAGATACCAGGGATAAATCAACATGGTCTGACAGGTGACTAAATACATTGTAAAGTTTTATAGGAAATATCAGATCCCTTATATATATATTACAGTACTGTTTAGTTCACACACATATGAAAAAAATATTAGCATCTTTCAACCATTATTCTTGACGTAGGTGATAGCATGTAGAGGTGTGCAGATCGTTCACATCAATGCAGAGAATTAAAACCATGAACCTAGATGTCTTGTTGAAAGGTGCAACATCACAGGGTTTTCCAGTGTAGCTGAATTTCATTGACAATCTTTACGACAGGTATTAAATAAACCAGAGAACTGCTGTGGACTAAAAGAGTTTGAAGTCCGCTGTTTGGTTGGGGATATAGCTTCAGCTGTTGAGTACCTCCATGGAAAGAGGATTATCCACCGAGATCTTAAGCCAGAAAATATAGTGTTGAGCGTTGTAGAAGATAAGGTATGTATAATGGAGAATATGATTAATAATATGATTGAGATTATTCAGTGACACAAATTTAGAATGTTTATGTGAAGATAATGATATTGATCTTTGAAAAAGTGTCTTTATTTGTGTTAAATTTTAGAAACTTCATTCCAGTTGATCATGACTTGTAGTGATACTTCAAAGTGGTCTGTAAATTTAATTGCCATTCAAAAGTTCACCAAGGATAAAACTTCTTGATTGTTGGCTTACATGTATGAAATCTTATTTCTTTTGTCTTGATGATGTAGTAAAGGTCTATACATTCATGCTGAAAATGTGCTAAAATATTATTGTGCAAATTATCTCTTTTGTATATCCTAATGGTCAAGATGACCTATAGCCATCATGCTTCGTCTGTTGTTGTGTGCTGTGTGTCGTGCGTAAACGTTTTCTTTAAAACGCTACCCCTCTTTCATACCTGGATGGATTTCAACCAAATTTGGTCTGATGCATCATTTGGTGAGGGTAATCATTTCTTTAATTCAGAATTTTGATTCAACCACTAGGGGTCGAGGAACGGGGCCCCAAAGTAGGAGATTGTGAAATTAGATTTTAAATCCTACTCCTCCTTTCTTCCTGGATGGATTTCAAAAAACTTCAGCCTAATTCATCAGTTAGGGTAGGCAATTATTACTTACATTCAGAAATTTAATCCGACCCCTAGGGACTTTAGGGCGGAGCTCAAAAGGGAAAATAAGACATTATTTTGCTTCAAAACGCTACTCCTTTTTAATGCTTGAATGGATTTCAACCAAATTGGGTCTAAAATTTATTGAGAGTGGGGAATCATTTCTTAAATTCAGAAAGTTTGTTCAACCTCCTAGGGACTTTAGGGTGGGGTCCCAAAAGGGGAAATTAGTCAGTATTTTGCTTCCAAACATTTCCACTTTTTAATACATCAATACCAACCAAAGTTGGTCAGAAAGATCATTGATGGTGGGGAATCATTTCTTGAATTCAGGAAGGGCTCCAAAAGGGGAAGTCAGGGAATATTTTGCTTCAAAATGCTACTCTTTCTTAATGCTTAAATGTATTTCAATCAAATTCGATATGAAACATCAATGAAACTGGAAAATCGTTTTTTAAATTCACAAACTTATTTTGACTCCTAGGAACCTTAGGGCAGCAAGGCCCCAAATGGGAAAGTTAGTTAATATTTTGCTTCAAAATGCTACTCTTTTAGCTAATATTTTGTTTCAAAATGCTACTCTTTCTTAATGCTTGGATGGATTCAACCACACTTGGTCCAAAATATCATTGAGAGTAGAGAATAATTTCTTATCTTTAGAAAGTTGATTCAATCCCTAGAGACTTTGGGGCAGGGCCCCAGAAGGGGAAGTTAGACAATAATTTGCCTCAAAATGCTCCTCTTTTTTAATGTTTCAATGAATTTTAACCAAATTGGGTATGAAACATCACACAGCATGCAAGTGGAGAATCCTTCTTAAATTCAGGAGATTGATTCAACCCCTATGGATGTGGTGGTGGGCAGGGCCCCAAATGGGAAAGTTAGTCAGTATTTTGCTTCAAAATACTACTCATTTAAAATGCTTGAATGGATTCAGCTACATTTAGTCTGAATCATCACTGAGAGTAAGGAATGATTTCTGATCTTCAGAAAGTTGATTCCATCCCTAGGGACTAGTGGGCGGGCCCCAAAAGGGGAAGTTCGATAATATTTTGCCTGGAAATGATTCTTTTTCTTAATGCTTGTATGAATGATATTAGGCCTGTAGCATGCTAGGATTGTTGCCATGGCAACCAAAAGAAGACCGATAATCTTTCCCAAACTGATTCTCCTAACCTTGTAAATTGTGAACTGAATTCATTGAAACTACACAGGAGTAATAAGAGCCATATGTAGATGTGCATGTATTTTAATACCCCTTGCAACTTTTGACACGGAAATGGTACATGTCTTAACAAAACTCAAGGTCATATACAGGGATTGAAATGTAAACAATCATTGACCAAAGTAGCTGTATATAATAATCTATTCCAGACTGTTTACAAGCTGATCGATCTTGGATATGCCAAAGAGTTGGATCAAGGAAGTGTGTGTACATCCTTTGTTGGGACGTTACAATACCTTGTAAGTTGACTTTACTGATCATTAGCATCTTTTTCTATGTTCATTATTTTATTTTTTTATTGAAGCAAATGACTTGCAAAAATAACTCATGTCATGTCATGTCAGAATCCCAACTCCAAAACTCTACATAAGATGTGATTTATGTATCAAGTTTGGAATCTAGCCTTCTGTGTATTTGATCAATAGATTGACAAAGACACTTTCATCAATACAAATTTTCAGTTGTCAAAAAAAACCTAAGATAGAGTGACAAACTTTTCAAATATCACCTTACCTTATCTATATCCTAAAGAAATATTAAGGGGAATCATCACGTAAAAGTACATTGTACTTGTAGGGAAAAATTGAAATAGATCATGATTTTAAACTTGTTCTTTTTTCAGGCCCCCGAGTTATTTGCCAGTCAAAAGTACACATGTACAGTAGACTACTGGTCCTTTGGGACCGTGGTGTTTGAATGTATCACAGGCTACCGACCATTCCTTCCCTCCACACCTCCTGTTACATGGTAGGTCATCAGCTTTTTCTGCAAATAATGCATAGTATTTTATCAGGCACTATTGTTCACATCACTGCGATCTGTATTTGATTTTTAGTTCATGTGGTCCGAAGGGCCAATAAGCGTATGTCATGGTGCAGCATCTGTCATCCATCCAGCATCTGTCATCCATCCAGCATCTGTCAACTTTTTAATAGAAAATAGCAACTACTGGGGGTAGACATGAATGATCAAAAAGATTTGGACTGGACATGTTATAGAATGTCTTGAAAATATAAAAGCCTTGAAAATAAGCTGTATATGCCATACAGTCAAAATTTTGTTAGAAAATTAGCTTCCTTTAGGAGATTTTATTGTATATATGTGACTTTAGTACATAGTGGCATGTATCATTGTCGGGAGATGGTATGTTGCCTACTGGAAAAAGGTGAATGGTACCAACATTAGGGTGTGCAATACTTCTTTGTATGTTGTATTAATCATTAACAAATGATGTGAGCTGATTTTAGTTTGTTGACTTATTGAATTTGAACATTTAAAAGGAGTAATGGGACTTATGTAGGGGCATTAGTAACAGTGAATTGGTGAAAAAGGACCAAAAGTGTAACACAGACATTTTATATCTAATTATTTATTGAACTTGTCAAAGATACATATTTTTTTTTGTTTAATTATTTGTTTATGTAATCTTATAATTTAAGGCACAAGGAGGTTTGTCAGAAATCCCCAGAAGATATTTCTGCTTATCATGACATCAGTGGTGATGTTAAATTTTCCAAGAAACTTTTATACCCAATAAGTCTTTGCAGGTAAGTGTGAAGAAGCTTATTCAAACCCTAAGAAGATTTTTCAAAATTACTTCAACATGAATAGAAAAAGTAAGAAAAGATTGATGGTTCAAGAAATTCAAGAAAAAAACTTACCAAAAGTAAAATTCATTATCACATACAATTTTTATAAAAGCTACATAAATGTGAATCAGTGATATTCTGATTGATATTTGTTGACAGAACACTTCAAGTGTATTTTGAGAAGTTTCTGCAACTGATGCTGCGGTGGGACCCCAAGTCACGTGGCGGAGGTCTAGTCGACGGTAGACCTAGCTGTTTCAGCGTGTTGGATACAGTACTAAATATGAAGGTACATGAATTGTTGGTAATGTCTTCTGATAGAGTTATCTTACTCTATTATAATATACATTGAGGAAGTAGGATCATCATCAGTTTTATGTTCCAATCAAAGCCAACTTGTTAAATAGTTCAAAGGCTTTAAAAAGGTGATTCAGACCTCTTTGGTAGTACATGAATGACAAAACAGACTAATTTCTTGGGACTATTTTCTGGATTTATTTTTCTTGATTTCATGGGTATACTTAATCCATCAATTCATATGTCCACAAACTGTTCAAATTTGTAGAAGAAGATTTATTGAGCTAAGTTTATCCACATAGAGTCCTGGAAAAAAAGTGATTTTTTGAAAGACCACATAAATTGAGCTCAATGAGAAAAATAGGATTTACAGTAATTGAGATGATCTCCCTTGTTATATCACAAGTTTACAAAATTATTAAAAAAAGCATCATGTGAAATTGTTACTAATTACTCCATGTACCTAATGGAAGTCTAGGGAGGACATCCTAATCGTAGAGTGGGCTACAGAGATGGCTAACTCAATAGACAACTTCTAGTCAACTCCTCTGACTTGCTCTGTAACTGTTGTTAATTTTTATGAAATATTCTAGGAGTCTACAGAATATATCTCAACTAAATCCAGGTTAACACAGAATTAATGGCAACAATAATACAAAATGTAAATATAAAATGGTACATGTGTACTGCATGTCCTTCATAAGAAGAAAATTCACTGATCACGTTTATGGCGTATGAAGACACTGCCATATTGACTTCCTTGCCAACTTTTGATCATATTTTATTGTCATTTCATAGATTATCCACATCCTGAACGTAGCCACTAACCATTTGCTGTCATATCCCCTGACGGAGGAGTACTCCATGCAGCAACTAATGAACATCATTGAGCAGGAAACATCAATTCCCATCAAGGATCAGGACCTCTTGTTGGCAAGTGGTGCCAGTCCTGACCCTCAACAGTCAGCCTCACAGTGCTGGACTAACCCAGTATGTTTTGTATTTAATTTTGAGTTTGGTACTGTTGACTTTTGTGACCTATTATATGAAGTACTGTATGTACTGGTAAATATTCCCATGAGAGAAAAACTATTTAGCTGAAAATTAGTGGAGATAGGAGGAAACAAAACAAAAATTATTTCTTGCCTGATCAAAAGTTCTTCATGGCACTCACAGCTGCCATTTTAAACAAAATTACTCAGTCATGGTTTTCCAGAACAAAACACATTTCAAATTTTCCCCCAAGCTCCAGCATTAGAATGTAGTTGCAGCAGAAATATTGAAAGAAAAAACATGTTAGACTTCGTCAGTTCTACTGGTGCCTTGGAACAATTCAGAGTAAGAAAATGATGTTGGTTTTTGTTCAGCACTCGAAGTACACTGCTGTAATTTGGATTTTTTAAATTTGAATTGTTCCTACTTCCACTACTGCTTTTTCATGATGGAAGCCTATATAGTGAAGTCTGGTGGCCGTTGAGGCCCATGGGCCTCTTGTTGTCTATTTACATGGGCATTTATTGCTGTTTGCGTTAGGTTTTCAAATTGATTTTTATGGCTCAAATACATCTTTTTTAATTTCTTTATGTTAATCTTGATTTCAGTGTGATGAAGACTGGGTGGTATTCCTTTTCAGGAAGGGTGGCTCTTCAGAGGTTCCAACTAAATTCAAACCACTTCCCACACGTGTGCAACACATAGTGCGAGATCCAACAACTCTACTGCCTTATCCGGTTTGAAAACTTAATTTATTTTTACCCTATTTTTATATCTATTCATTATTCTGTAGCTGTGATACTGGTAAAGAAAATATAAAATATATTTTAAGAATACTTCAAAACTCATTTCTTGGTATGTGTTGTATCAAGTTCCTGCATCAGAGGTGAATTCACACATAGCTGCATGCAAACTTCATTAGTTCTTTTTTGAAGATATATTGAAATAATTGTATGCATTGGAGTGGTCATTAATTTTTGAAATCATAAAAATAATGCAAAATTTGATACTCTTTTTCATTTTACTGGTAACAAGTAATACATTAATGCATCATGTATCCAGTTAGATAAGAGCAAGATTATCAACAATGAAACCAACATGTGTAATAATGTGTATCCAAGCCAAAGTAGTACCAGGGTGACACAGAAATATGTAACAACTGCAACTGATATTTTGGATTTAGTTTAACAATTTAGCAAGATCATCCTAACACTGAAAATACCTGAGTTATTTTCATATCTTTTTGTTTCATCCATGTAGGAGCAGAAAAAGGCATGGGCCGAGTGTGTATTTTTCTGTGCTGAACAGGTGGTTGACTATAAGCGTTTGATCCTTAGTCAGCGGGCAGCTATGTAAGTATACTGACATTTATTTCATTTTACACTATAGGGTAAATCAGATTTAGAAGATGCATTTGAGCCATTTAATTCTGTGTACCAAAATTTCATCTGTATTGTAAAGATATCAATAATTCTTACTTTCTATGACTTGATGTTCAGTTATCTGTGAATCGTCAAATGCAGGATTGTTAATTTAGAGTATCTTTGCACACACTGTCATACATGGATGATCAGATTACAATCTTTAAGTTATGATTTTGACTTATTCTGACATCGTAGCAAATTATATTTGGTTGATTTTCTGGTGTTGATGTTGTGAAAGTTTTGACACCTATCATACTTCTGTTTTAACAGGCTCAGTCTATTGAGAACAAATTCAGACTTTATTCGTCTGAAGTCAAAGATGGTTAACGAGAGTGATTATCTGATGGCCAAGATGAAGTTTTTCCAACAGAGGTAGTATTAATTATTTGGGGTTCATAAACCACTACCAAAGTTAAGGGATCCACACATTGCCTTTGGCTCACAGTCATAGGATGGGCTTATTACTGGACATTGATGTAGCATTTAATGGAAATCTTATTTAACAGCAATATACACGTGTATATGAAGGGAGCTATTGCCAGGCATATCCGATTATTGTAGGTTAAAATCAAATAATGGAATCCATTTTCAAATTTTATGAACAGCTATTCCAGTAAAATATCTATCTCTCCAAGGGTCTCACAGGTCCTGCATGTGTACCTCCCATAGAATTCTATATTTTTCATGGAAGAAATCAAATGTTTTTTAGATCAGATCCATGTGTGCATATTATTAATCTATTGTCATGTGTATTTAAGTGAAGAAGCACATTTTTTTTACTTATAATGAAATTTATACTACATGTTAATATCATTTAAATGGTCTTTCAGTTTGAGACATGACATGGCATGTTATAAGGACCAGATGTCCAATGGTAACCTCTGTAAGTACATGAAGCCAGCTATGACTAGCTTTAAGTGACCTATGTACAACACCTCCTATTAACAGTATTATATTGTGTATCCAGCTTAAAAATTTTGTAAAATATTGTTTTCAGATCATATCTCATGGTATTGTTTTATGCTTATTTTCTTCCAGCGAGATATTTCATGATAATAATGGGAAACATGGTAGTCATGTTATAACATTAAGGATTTTTTTGTATTAATAGTTTCTTTTGATATACAATATTTAATAAGAATTGGTATTTAACTATTCACAAATTATTATATTAACAGTATTTCTTGTTTTCACTTCAGCTGACTCGGGTGAATTGTTTCAAAGATGGCTTCAAAGTGGCGAAGACATGAATGAATATAGTGCTATAGTAAGTTACCAGACTTCGGGATTATATGGGTTTATCACATAGAACCTATGTATAGCGTACCGTAATTACCAACATACTTCTACATGATTTAAACATTAGGAAATGTTTTCTGCGGGCTACCTGATGGTATCAGTATGCTGAACCATGTTTTTCATATTTCTAGAGACCAGAAGGAGACCAAGTCTTGTCTTTGGGAAGTTGATGATTAAATAGTTCAAGTATCAATATGCATTATGATCAGTATGCTGAACTATGCTTTAAGGTACCTAAGACAAAATCCCATCATGACCTGTTGTGATTGCCTTTTGTCCAGTGGTGTCTGATTTTGGAAATTAAAGTTATTTATTTTGCATTGGTAATAATTTGGTAAGAATAGTTAGTGTAGGATGACAGTTTGGATATATCAACCCTGGCTGACCCCTAAGAGTTTAAAACAGACCACTTAGTCTCATGATCATCAATGTTACAATTACTTTTTCTTTTTTCTTAACACTTGGATGCTCCTTACTCTTTAACCTTTATATTCCATATTGTTAACCTCAGGTGACCATCAAGGTCATTAGGCCTCTTGTTTAAATTGTGTAGGACCCAAAAGGGTTAAATTTGTATTAAAATGAAATATGTTATTAATATGTGAACTATGCTGTCCTCAAACAACTTTTGTCAGCTCACCTGGTCCAAAGGTTTGGAGATCCTATGTTGTGGTGAGTCATCTGTCCATCAACTTTTACTGCAGATCGCAGATAGTTATAAAAGACAGCATATTTTGACCAAATTTGATCAGAAGCTTCTTTGGAGAAAAGGACTTAATTTTGTATAAAACATGTGTATGACCATTCTTTGGGCTTGAGGGGCAGAACCCAATGCAGTAAGTTGAGCAGTAACTTCAAAATATTTCTTCTTCTGTAGGAATGACAGGATTTTGTTAAAATTTGGTCTGAAACATCCTGGGGTGAAGTTACTCAATTTTGTATAAACAGTGTGTCTGACCCCTTTGTGAACAGATGGTTGGGGTAAGATCAAGATAGGGAAATAGAGGATATACTTTAAAATCCTAGTTCTATAAGGATGACAGTGTTATATCAAAACGTAATCTGCAGCATCCTTGGGTAAAGGTACATACAATGGGTCTAATCCTCTGGGAGCAGAGAGACAGGGACAAATAGGGGAATCACTTTAAAATCTTGATTTATGTTTTATGTCAGTAGGGGTTGAGATGCGGGAATTATTTTTTTTATATTACATGATTACTAAATTCAGATTATGGTTACTGATTTGAAAACCTATTTTTTTGTAGAAAGAAGAGTGCAATAGACTTGACCAGCAGTCCACGGCATTGCAGACAAAAATTGTGGAGTTACAGAGAAGCCCTTTTGCACGAACAAACAAGAACATCATTTTAGAGGAAATGTTAGTTTTTCTTTCAACAAGTACTTAAAAAAAATGAAAACCACTCACCACTATATAGTGAAATTTAAAATCAAAGTTTAGCAGGTCCTGTTTTACTATCACAGTATACCAAAGTAACATTCTGATCCACTTACCATGTCAATGCTTGGTAGTAAATCCACTGATATTTTAGCTGTTCAATGAACAAAATTATTGTATTTCTTTGTCGTGTGAAAACCTACCCTCTGATTTTGAACTTAAGACCTGCATGATGAAATTGTTTGAAATTTTCAGTGATTGGTCATCATTTACGCTTCAGTAATCACTGTACTGTCCACCATCCGCTGTGCCTAAACTTTCCGTTCAATTGACTTTTTATCAATAACCAAATGGCTTATAGTGCTGATATTGGACCTGTAACATGTTGGGATGAAGGACTACCAAGTTTGTTAAAAAGAATGATCTTGACCCACTTTCAAAGTCACAGGGGACAAATGTGTAAAAATCTTTAAATCTTTCTCAATAACCAAAAGACCCAGAGTGCTGATTAGCAAGCTTGGATGAAGGGTTACCAGTATTTTTGTTTTATTTACCTTTTCTCTTTTTGAAGGTTACAGGGGTCAAATGTTGTACAGATTTTCTAATGACTTCTCAATAACTGAAAGGTCCAGGCTGTTGATATTGGTTCTTAGTATAAGTAAAGGGCTACCTATTTGTTTGAATAATTGACCTATATTCAAGATCTCTTGGGTTAAGTGAGTTGAGATCTTAAATTTATTTTTCAGCAAACAACAGGTTCAGAGTAATGGCATTTGTGTAGTAGCATGTATAGAGAATATGATTTCAAGTTTGCAGAAAAAGTTTTTATGAACCAACAATATCTTCTTTGTAAATTGTAGAGTAGTTGAGCATTTTATTTTAGGCCTTTTTGGCCTTTTCCTACATAGGTCTTTTAGTCAGATGACAATTAAGGTCTTTGGGCTTCTTGGGTTAGTTAAAAATTATAAATTCCTTTCAACAAATCTTATTATGAATTTGCAATTGAAATATTATCTGTATGCAAAGCCATACTTCTTGAATTGGGAAATCAAGTTCTGAACGAAAAAAGGTGATATTTGATAAGCTGTTTCAGTGAAACATTAGATACATCAGATACATCAATATCAGATACTGTTAACTTACATGCAAGACTAATATAAAGATTTGTCTGCACCAGGGAGAAGACGTCTAGGGATTTGTACCAGGAACTAAGACAATCTGGGAAAGGCCGTAAGAACATCTTATTTGTTTACACCTTCTTCATTTTACTGATATTAGTTACACTTTTGGCATGAGAAGGTTCTGTTATTATTAAGTAACTATTTTAAACTTTTTACACACTGACATTAAATTGCCATGAAATATATTTTTCAGAGTTATAAGCAGGAAATGCAGTGCTTTCACTCCTCGTTATAATTTTATCCAGCTGTACATGTAATATTTTTTAGCTTAATGTTTCCCTAAAGATTGTGTATAGTTTGTCATCTGTCAACAAACTACTTTGTTCACTGAAAACATTTCTACGTCATATTCATGATTTGTTTTCATACATATACATTAAGACCTAATTTCTGTGAGACATCTATAAGAAATGCATGTTGAGGAGTAACACATTTTAGCATAAAAACTTGGTTTGGATCATTTACATGTTGTGTTGTATTTCAGCTGGTAGAGAAACCTTTAGAGATCATCGTCCTATGGTGACTGCTGTAGTCAAGTGTGTGATGAGTCGTGACAAAAACCTTCAGGACTTGTATCGACACCTAGTGTATGAAGATTTGTATTCTCCTTCAAATGATGCTTATTCATTCTCTAAATAGTGCCCCTCACATTTAAGATGTGGGTTAATAATAATCAGTTTGCCAGTCTATTTTTGTTTCAGCACAATATCTTCAGTTTTGTTGGGTAAATTGCACTCCTATTCCATCCTGTGCTTCATCAAACAAATTGTTTGTTAGGAATAACTTTTCAGATTAGGGTTTCAAAGTTCAAGGTCACTGTAAATAGTCGGTTACTGCAAAATATCATTTCTTTTTCACTGATCACACTAAGATTTTCTCAATTGTTTTCACAGAAAGTACTATTTTTTTATTGTCTTCCAGTCCAATTGTCCAAGTCAAGGTTACTGTGTATCACTAAAGATAGAATTGCCTCACTACAGGTCAAGGTCAGATTTAAATATAAATATTTTACTGGTGAATACTTTGTTGTAATGTTATGAAAGCAAAGTTGACCAGAATTAAATGAAGAAGTGCTTTCAAGGTCAACAGGTTCAAATAAGGGCCACATATTCTGTCTTTAATGGTAACAATATTTTATAGAATTATGATTAAAAAACGATCAAAAAGTCACTTTACCAAATGTCAAGGTCTTAGAGTTAAATGTCAAGGTCAAATATTAAATATTTTACTGCTTCTTCCTTTGTTATAATATTATGAACCAGAATGATCAAAATGAAACAAATGTGTAATCGTTCAGATGTCAACATCTTACTATTTCTTAACTGGTAAATAATTTTGTCTTAATATTATGAATCAAAGATGATTTGAATTATTAGATGAAGAGTTATTATGCAGCAGGAGGATATAAAAGATAAAAATCACAAGGTAGACAAAAATAAAAAAATAATTACCACTTAGTGCCATTAAACATAAACCTAGATTGTCATGAAAGGTCTATAGAATGTATCAAATATATTTGCATATACCGGTAAGCATTACAGTAATCCTATTACAGGTCACTTGAGACAAAGACATAAACTTTTAACATTTTCTATTTCATCCTAAAAAATCCTGCACTGATTTAAACAAAATTTTACAGAAATCTTCCCTGGCTACAGATGAACCAAAACAGTGAAATATATTGTTCCCCAGGGGCCTGAAGTAATCAAATTGACTCAGATTTCAATAATTGTCTTATCCCAGACATGGTAGAACCTAATGCTCTTCATGGATGGAAGGGTCTTAAGATGCTTCACCAAAACTATGAATTTCATGACCTTAGGGTCTCACATTTCCTCTTAGAAAAGGGGTAAAAATTATTATAGTCTATGTCTTGGGGTCAAATGTGTTACTTTTGGGAGTGTCTCTCCGTTTACCTATGTATATATTTTCAATGTCCATGTGCTTGGTAGTATCATGTTGTCTATATTTATCTTTATCCTGCAAATGGCAGTGCCATTGTCGAAAATATGCTTGCCTTATAAATTTTTATGTATTCGGCAGGGACCCCTGTAATGAAGCATGAGCTTAAATTCAACAGAATTAATTTCTGAATTTACTTTAAAACTATGTTTAACAATATAACAAGAGATCCCAGAGGGATCTTGGCACCCACCATTGGTTGATCTTTATATGTAATTTGAAAGCTGGATCTTTTGCCTTCTTTTCTCTTCTCTGTTGATGCTCTTAATGACAAGACATTTGAATATTCCATCGCAGAAATAGCAATGATAATCTTTTTACCTGCCAAATCCAAAATGGCCACCTGGAAGCCATTTTGTTTCTTCTGATCAGTCCCAAAATCAAATGAGCACAAGGAGAGAGCAAAGGGAATATACATATGAAATTTGAGAGATATCCATTCAGAATTTCTTAGAAATAGCAATAACAATCTTTACTAGGCAAAAGCCAAGATGGCTGCCTGTCTGCTTTATTTTTCTGGTCAGTCCCAAACTCAAACAGGCACAATTAGGGACCTAAAGAAACATGTACATGAAATTTGAGAAAGATCTGTACAGCAGTTCCCAAGAAATTGTAATAACAATTTTTTAAAGTAAAAATCCAAGATGGCTCAAAATAACATAGGCACAACTAGAGACCAAGGGTAACCTACATTTGAAATTTGAGGAAGATCCATCTCTTACTATTCAAGAAATAGCAATAACAGACTTAATTGAAAAAATCCAAGAAGGCTGCCTGTCGGTCATTTTGTTTCTTTCATCAGTCCTAAAATCAAACGGGCATAACTAGGGACCAGGGGAAACCTACATTTGCAATTAGAGAAAGATCCATCCAGTACTTCTCAAGAAATAGCAATTACAAAGTTTGTTTACGGACAGACGACTGAAAGACAAACGGCCGGATGACAGACCGCAGGATGAACGGATGACAGATCAGACGCAGAGCCATTTGAATAGTCTACCATCTGATGATGGTGGGCTGTAAAACTGTTGAAATAAGCAATATTTGATGTTGTTATGAACAAGTTTATTTACAAAAAATCATGAAGAGGCTCGCCACTTTTGTCTTTCTTCACCCTCGCCAAATACAGCTTATATTATAAACACTTACCGTGTATTCTCTTTGTATCCTGTATGTTCAGTTGTGTCCAGGTAAAGGAAAAATTTATTTTTGAGCATAATTTGTTTAATTTCCATTGAAAATATTTCAAACTTGGTTAGAAGTATTAGCAAAGGATGATACCTTGTCCATCCGTCCATTTGCTCATCATCATTCTGTTTGGAGCATAATACAAAAACTATAAGATGTATCAGCTTAAAACTTCATAGGTAGATAGATCTCAACAAGTAGGAGGGGCAGTTCACAGGAACCATCCTTTTTTGTGCATAATATAACATTTAATGCCCTTTGTTATTTTCATACTTAAATTACACTAAAACGGTAATAGGTATTATCATAAGACTTCCTAGAAAGATAGATCTCAACAAGTAGGAGGGCAGTGCACAAAAATCATAACTCTCTTATTGCTCTTTGTTATTTTTCAGACTTCAATTTTGTCCCAATCGGAGAGTATAACCTATCTATGACGGCCTTTGTTGCTAGTTTCCAGCAAAGCCTTCAATGAAAATGTTGCTTAATAGTTCAGATATGATACCTAGTTTTTGCTCAACTTTGGACTTAATATACAAATACTTTTTTAAGTGGCTGTGGTGAGATGAATGACACTACAGCATCATTCTTTCATCAATTACTGAAAAATCAAATATAAATCAGTTTTTTCCTATCTAGACTGGCTTAGGTGATGTGTCATCTTTCACTCATATCTTATTTCTTTTGTTCCAACAGGAAGATAGGATCTTGCAAGCAGGAACTGTTCCAAATTTTACCAGGAATTGAGAAGTGTTGCAGAGATATAAACAGTGCGAATGAACAATTGATTAAATGTCAGAAGCGACGTCAGTCCGAAATATGGCATCTCTTTAGAACGATGGTAAGAGTTTAATTTTGTTTTTAAAACGTCATTAAAACTTGGTACATATATCAGATATTGAATAGTCTGTGGTGATCATCGTATTTGTCTTCTGTCTAATTTCTAAAGACAATATCAGAATGCAGAATGTTAAATTTTTCATATTTATGCTTGGATAATAATGTGCAGTAGGTATTTCACAAGTTCCACATATCAAGATCACTGTCCAAAACTAGTACTTGGTGATTTAGGGGATCTGATACAATAACCCACACTGTGCGGCCCTGTAGAACTGCCGATACTAAATTCATTATCATTTCCTTCGTATATTCACTTATCATGTTGATGTTTTTGAATGACAGCACAATTAACGAAATATCTAAATGATCGTATACAAAAATAATGTGGTAATGTTTGGCAAACTTTGTTGAAGACTTTAATACTACAAAAGGAGATTGGCTTACAGCTCAACAACTAAAATGGAAACATTTGTGTTCTTTTTCTTTTATCAACATCACAAAAATGGACTTGCAATCAATAGTTTTAAGAGAGATTTTCTCAAACTGTAATCTGCATCCCAGTCAAGCAATTTCGTATTAAATTTAATGTATTTTACAGAGTGGTGAAATCAATCAACGTGGAAGTAGTGGTCATGCTAGCATCTCTGTCTCATTATATGGCAATGAATCACTGGAGTCTTTACAAGTAGTCGAAGATTCTAAGGAAACACACAGAAGGTACACAGTTTACAAACAAAAATTGTATATGGCAATCTTGGATATTTCTTTTGTCATTGCTTCTTGCATTTTAGGTGGCTTATTGAATAAGTTAAAAATAAGATGGGAAAGAAATCATTGCATGATGTTGTATTTTAAGAAATATAAAGATATGTAAAATTATTTCAGGCTTGGTCAAATGCTACAAGATGTTTTACAAGCTCAGAATGATCCTGCATCAAATCTGGATTGGGATTCAATGCCATTGGCAAACACATGACTGGACAATAGACATATCTTGGCACATGATAACTCCAAAAAGGTACACTCGGGATACAGTTACTTGTAAATGATGGATCCATCAGATCTGCTGCAGCATTGGAACAGCTGTACCTATAACCTATAGTGCACATCACTAGTGACTGGCTCAACGTTACCTAATGCTGTTAGCAAACAATGAGTTAACAAGTGATTCGAAAATGTTATGCTATTAGCATTCAGAGAGTTTCTGCAACTCCGAAATACCTGTAGTGGTAAGCATACAAGTTCCAACTAAGGACTCAACTATATAAGTGTAATAGCATATAGTGACATAATAACTGCAATGAGTTTTAAGGATTACACTGTAATAAATGCTAATATTTAGCATTTGGTGAGTTCCAATAGATCAACTTGACATGAAACTGTTTGAGGGATTTTGTAATGCCAGTACATTTGTAGGTGTTAGTATATTTCAATAATTCATAGAGGATATGCTTTGTTTCTTAGTGAATAAAAGTAGAAGTGGAGTGGAAAGTTTTATATTTTTCAAACGTGCCAGTCAAGATTGAAAAATATAAATAATTTCACTGCATGTGTGTATCATTATTCTGCCAGATATATAGTTCTACATCTGTATGTAGGGCTACTATTTCATGGCTATGTTTACTAGAGTTGTCCTTCCTGAAGTCCTGATGCACCCTAGGGAAATTGATATTTTAACTGCAAATGCTGTGATATGATTGGTTAAAAATGAACAAAAATATAAATAACTGTTATATTCAATAGATATATCATATGAAGTCATGTTTCACTTTGAAAAATGTTGTAATTTATACATTAACATCTGTCAGACCTGTTAAGTAAGACACTATGAAGATATGTAATTAAACTATGGAAAACTCCAAACATGGTAACATTAATAAAAGATACCTTTGCAATTCTAAATAAATCTATATGACAGATAAATACATTATGATTTCAAGAAATAGCATATAACTACATGGACACCCCTTCTTCCATTTAGGCAGAGTACAATTAACTTGGTCCATGTTGATGTGTAAATACAACGTATCATGATATAATATTACTTATCCACAGGAAGACATTTCAAGTAGTATGTTAAAAATTAGCTGATCTCTACTAATAATTTAATTTGATCTTGTTCTATACAACCTGCTGTAATTAGTTCAGTAACATTCTGGTGTGATGAATATTTAATTGTACCAAAACATGGACTTTTTTCTGGGTGCATTATCAAGAATAAATCTGTAGTGAAACATGGAAATACCTGATACAATGAAGGTTGTTATTTTCTATGGATTTCATTTTTCACTGAAAAAGATGTTCCTTGCAATCACAAGGGTGGAATATGTTCTTTTGACTTTATTAGAAGTGTTTGTGATCGTACATGCTGAATAGGAAGGTTGTCGTGCAGAATGTATTCTTATAAACTTAGAAGCCTTTGAAAAAATTGCTTTAAAATTTCACAAAAAAGTACATAACAACCTTTACATACAGTACCTAAATGATTGGATGATAGTGCTTTATTTCTTGTCAACTTACCACTGGAACAACCATGGTAAAAGCAACCTTTACACACAGTATCTAAATGATGGGATGACAGTGCTTCATTTGTTTTAGACCTACACTGGAACCATAGCCAAAACAACCTTTACACACAGTATCTAAATGATGGGACAACATTGCTTCATTTGTTTTAGACCTATCACTGAAAATTTTGAATATCAGCTGTATTATTAGTTCATTGTCACAAATAAAATGCAGTTTTTAGTAAGATATTGGAGATGGGGATTCTTTTAACACTCCAAATAAGCATGACTGTAAGATGTAATGTTTTCTCGATTCCAAAGGGTATCTCAAGTGATATCACCAAATATGTAAGTCTGTATTTGAAGATTTTATTTATGTCAGACTGGCAAATAATGAGAAATGTTGAAAAATGAATTACCTTTGATGATATTGACTTTGAAATCTATTAGAATTGTATGGATTGAACTAGTCCATCAATCTATTATGTAGTGCTACTGGTGTCATCATTCAGTGTAATTTCAGTCACTTAGTACCAGAATAAATTACTAATAAAAGTACAATTTTGTATTTTCTGAATATTAATATACTCAATGCCTACATTCAGTGGTTGAGAGTGATTTGCCTCAAACTCATCCCTCACGATGCCATTGATGATCGAGTATTTTGGCTACAGTATTTGTGATGTATTTCTGAAAAATATACAAGGTAGTAATTCATGTTATTTTCATTGTACATTGTTCTTTTAACCTGTCTCCAAAAATTTGGAAAACACAAATGTACAATAACTTTTTTCCTGTTTCTAATTAATGTAATTAAATCTGTAAAATGATCCATTTTGTAACTTTTATTGCTTTATTATTTATTAACTTTGTGGAAAGATTTTATTATTTATTTACTATATGGAAAGATTTTGAATGCCAAAGGACAATTTTTCCTACAAAGCATGCGAGCAGATTACATTGTGCAGTGTCAAATATCTTTTATATCGCATATAATATATTGTATTAGCTATATTCATAAGATATCATTCTGTTAGAAAAGAAAGAAGATCCCTTCATAGAAATTGTAAAACCAAGTCTAAACAGGCTGAACAGGATGCAACAAAATTTTGTTACATTGTATAATTGTTTTTTGTACAAGATGATGTCACAGCAACTGACATTATCATACATTGCATTTACCATTTCCTTCTGAAATAAACATGAAGAGACCAAGACACTGGTGAAAGACTGATGTTGCTTTATTTTTTTTTATTTCTATTTAAATACATATACTCCAGGCTAGGAGTTAGGAAGACAACAAATTTATAAAACATATGACTTGTGGAGATGCAAAAATTTGGGCAACAATAACAATATTGAACGACTTTGTTTTGTCATTCATAATGATGTATGCTGAAATCCAGATTATTCATTCCACTTCCTGGTTTCTTTCACCAATTTGGCAGTCAGTTAAGTTGACCACTCATTGGAACTGTGAATTATCAGTACATTATGAGAATCTGTCACTATCACAGGTGTAAACTGGAATTTTGTGAAAAAGTAGGTCCCACTCAGGTCATTGATTTCCGGCTGGTGATTTGATATAATTATCTGATGTGGTTTGTTAACTCTAGAAAAAACACGAAAGCAGCTAAACATTACCTTGACTATATACTACTGGGGGGTGTTAATTTTCTATCAGTATCACCCATAAAACAAAAAATAAGGCTGTTTAAACTTCCAATTCTTTTATTCTTCTTTTAAACTTAATTCATTTTACAACAATTGCAAAACAAGATTTCCAGCTAATACTAATCACTCTTTGTTGACTCTGATGGAAGCGTGCGAAGAGTCTTATTATTGAAGGAAACCAGAGTACCTTGGGGAAAACCCAAATGGTTGGGTAAGTGAAGACCCTGTACCTTTTCACATATGTGCCAGGAATCGAACCCCGGACGAGCGTGTTACCACTGCGCCACCCAACCACCCTAATTCCATTCACTTTTATCAACTAATATGTAGGATTCCGTCTTGTTGCATGCTTTTGAAAACAAGAGTATCTCTGAAACTGATGAACGTACCTGAAATCAACTACACATATGCTGGAAACAAAATTATATGTATTGCAATATTAATTCTGTAACAGGTTGGGCCCCTTGAATTTGGTACACTGCTTATAGTCTTAGTTTGACAAATGTACACACCAAGTTTTATGACCCTTGCTTACAGAATCTTAATTCACACTAAAATTTAATGACATTATGGTACTGTATTAACAAAAGTAATGCTTAATTGGTAATCCCTGCAGAAAGAGAATAAGACTTGTTGTTCAGATAGGGTAATTATCTCCTTCATCCTCATGTCGTCATGGTAAATCCAAGAAAATAATACCAAATGTGACAGAAAAAGGTAAACAGCAGTGGAAACACCAAGGCAAACTAGCAGGTATCAAACATGTCCATCTTTGTATTGCAACAGATAATCGAATACATCTCAATGAGATCTTTATGATGACAGTAAAACTTATTAATAATCTTGCACAAAAATCACAATATTGGAAATTAGTCCTTGAATATGGAATCAACTGGAATATGTTTAATTCATCTACAACAAATGGAAAATTTATGATGGGAAAATAGAAATCATCACGATTATCATGCATCTGGGTGGAAAGTTGTCATTTATATTTTGTTGTAGGAAAAGATTCATTCCTACAGCTACCTGGATTCTGTCCAGATAGCTATGATGACTTTTCATGCAGATATAAATTCAGGGTTGGCAGAAGTGCACATATATTTTTACTTGGAAAATACATTAAGATTAGTTCAATTGTCTGTGGAAGATATTTTCTCATTTATGTGAACAAACAGGAAATATGTTCAACATTCATAAATACCAGCAACTGGCAATCTTCAGCCATATATACCATTACAGAATTTTGATCTCCTAAGTTATTCAAAATTTGTTTCAAATTATATGCTGCTGATTATATGGAATTTTTCCTCTGGCACATTAAATCATGGATGATATACATCAATCTCACTAATCATGTTCTTTTTGACATAAATTATATTTTTAGTTATAAAACAGTGTTTTCTATATAAGCAAACATAATCAAGTTGGGGTATTGCTTTCATATGTGCAATATCTTAAAACTAAACAATTTCACTTTCAATTTTCATTTTTAGATAGGTTGTATTGAAAAACAAAAGGCCTAGCGGCCTTGACAGTCACCTGAGATTGAATATAAAGATTAAAGGATATTTATCAAGTGCCATGAAACAGAATTTCTGACTCTGAATATAGACAGTGTCAATACATGCATTCCATCAAAAGTGTCATCCTATACTGATAATTCTTATTGAGTTATTTCCTTTGGGAAATAACCAATGCTATGCCAAAAAATGCTATTTTTCTATGAAAAATTACAGTAAAGTCTAAAAAGATATTCCTCCCAAGGAAGAAATTAGAGACTCATTTTGGTAATTAAAGCACCTTAAGATGCTTCCATTCATAAAGAGTATTTGATTCTACCATATCTTGGTGCTGAGAAGAACTTTTTTGAAATTTAAGTCAATTTGACCCCTTTTGGCCCCGCCCATCAGCTCCTGGGTGTCAGTTAGGATCAAAATGGGGATTACTATCAAACTGTCATCTTTCACTCATAATTCTGACCAAGTTTGAAATATTTCCAATGGAAATTAAATAAATTATAATCAAAAATCTAGTTTTCCTGTATAAACTAAAATAAACTTTACCCCCTCCCCATGGGGAAATGAGAGACCCTGGGGTCATGAAATTCACAATTTTGGCAAAGCACCTTAAGATGCTTCCATTCATGAATTTTTTTCTTCTTCCATATCTCGGTACTGAGAATAAGATTTTTGAAATCTGAGTCAATATGACCCCTTTTGGCCCTGTCCCTCAGGACCCTAGGGGTTGGGAACTGTATAATTCACAATTTTGGTTCATCTTAGGCCAAGGAAGGTTCTGTAAAATTTCATTGAAATTGGATCAGGGTTTTTTGAGAAGAAGTCAAAAGTGTTAAATTGTTTACAGAAGCACAACGCACAACGTGCGACTAGATTTAACTAGATTTCTATCTTTAATAAAAATTATATGATCACAACTGATGAAAGATGCATGTCAACATATGAAATAAATAACCTGAGATTTACCAATAACACATCCCATGTGTACAGTAATGTATGTGTTCACAGTAATTCTTAATTAAAAGAAATAATCAGCTTGTTATCCATATTTAAGCTCACATGAACTATTAAAAAGTTTGGTGAACCATGTTGTTGCTTATCTTATATCAATCCCGATTTTTTGTTGAATAAATCATGCAAAAAATTCAGAATGACTGACTGGATTATGATTTTTTCACATTGAGTACTCAAGCGAGATTCTGTTATAAATTTCATCATATACATGTTCTTCATGGGAAAAATGGCTTTTGGCCAAATTAAGCAAAAATTTATGTGCCATTACAAAAAAAAATTTCAGTTGATATGCATTTTTTTACAGTTTCAGTTGCCAGGCAAATGAAAGATTTTTTACAATAAAATGAGTGCAAGCATGCACACACTGCCACACACACACACACACACACACACACACACATAAATACACACACACACACACCCTCACTCACACACACACACAGCCTCTCACTCACACACACATACATACAACACACAATTTTTCAACACTGCATTTACCTGTATTAGTAGAAAATAGGAATCATACACTGCAATGTTCTACATACATGCATTTCTTCACAAGTAGGTAACTCAATATTTGTCACAAAAGATGTATGACTGTAATGACCTTGCCCTTTGACAGTGATTCTTTGAATATACACTGACTGACAGCATCATTTGATATTGAAAATAGTAAAAACAATCTTCAAAGCATAACTCATAAAAAAATCATCAAATACTGAAGGCAATGATAATGAAGATCTAGTAAAGCTCAGAAGATGGTATGCTTATTCATAATGGTAAACATATCTAGATTCCAGCAGCAAATGAGATATGACAGTACCTGTTAATATATTTCTAAAGTTAAAAATTCAAAACCAAGTTCAGCATGGTGTTTGCATAACCAGGTTTCAAGACAATGCCAATCAAATTTCAAAAGTATGTTATCTTGAATAACCTTTACCTGTTTATAGAATTTTTGTAATTAATAATTAGTAACTAATTAGTAAAAGCAATTTAACTAGTAAGAAACATGAGTTACATTTAGCATTAAGATCTTGACCTTTGCTCTACCTTTGCCATTCAACTCAGAATCTTTGAAACTTTGTTTCAGAACGTTACAAACTTTTCCTAATTAAGAGAAATGAAATTTGATTTCTAAGATCTTTCCCTTTGACCATGCATCATTAACCTTTAGTGTGTGATTTAACCTTTAGTGTGTGATTTGGAATTTAATTTTAACGGATACAATAATTGAATATTTATTTCTGAGATATATGGGTTATAAAGCAATGGAAGTCAAAGTCTGATATCTTTAGCATCTGTGACTTTTGCCATGTGAACAGGCAGTAAAAACATGTAAACAATGCCATACCATGATAAACAAAACAAAAAACCATGAAAATCAAAATGGCTACTGACAGCTACCTTTCTTCATTCAAAACGTTTTCTCTTGTATAAGCTTAAAAACGATATCAGCATTATCAACAGAAATATGTGTGGATCAGGGCGTAAAGACTGCTCAGAAACTTAACATCTAATGACAGCCAAAAGGGCCCTGGCTACTCACCTGTTCTGCAGCTTAACTACACAGAAGACTTGTTCAGTAAATTTCTGCAAACTGGTACCAGGACCTACTGCTTATTGAAATTATAAAGGAAGAAGTTCTTAACACATTTATTGAAATAAAGACAGTAGTCCTTCCAGCTAGCATATTACAGGCCTGATATCAGTACCCTGGGTCTTTTAGTTGTTGAGAAAAAGTTATATTTGACCACTGTGACCTTGAACATGGGCCAAGGTCATTCATTTGAACAAACCTGATAGCTATCATTCCAGCAAGCTACAGGCCCAATATCAGCACATGGGCCTTTTGGTTATGGAGAAGAATGTTTAAACATACTTGACCCCTGTGTCCTTGAAAGTAGGTCCAGGTCATTCATTTGTACACAAGTCAAATATCAGCATCCTGGGATTGTGGTTATTGAGAAAACGTTTTTTAAAGATTTAAATTTGAATCTAAAGAACTTAAAAGTGTATCAAGGTAACACATTTGAGCAAAGGTAGCTGATCTTTACAGTATGCTGCAGGCCAAATATCAGAAGAAATTGTTTGAAGGGAAAAGTTGACAATGGACGGACAGATGTGGTGCCCCACATAAGCTCTGATGATATTTATAGTTATATGACTTATGTTCTACAGATGGCTCTAACCAAAATAACGTACCAGTTGCTGACTGAGGTCCCTTAAAAAGTACATGATTTTGTAATATGCAATCATTTTTTGTCACTATGAAAAACAGTCACATCAAACTAAGGCCACAAATAAATTTCAGGTTTCTTGATAACATTGTATATGAAGTTGTCATGTCGTAGCTGAATTCATAACTCATCATGGTCTTGAATTTTGTTCTTCTTACATATCTCATCAAAATCACAAGCATCAATAAAGTGTGAATAGTACCGTCGGACATCAGTGTACAGACAAAGAATCTTCCCACAAGCTGGAATAATGACTGCCTCCTCATTCACATAAAGCTTCACATATATACTTTCTTCTTCAGTCTCGTCAATGTCATCTTCATCACTGTTAGTGTCACATTCATACAAAACAAAGGCAACATTTGCTGCAAAAGGCAGAATTTTGCTACTTCTGAACAGTCTGTTCCTTTGCTTTTCAAAATTGTTTGCCATCAGTGGTTCAGAATCTTTATATAGTCCCAAAGCAGCATATAATGGTCCCAAAGTCTCTGCATGTGCAAATCGAAAAATCCCAACAGAGGAGCTGCACAATAAAAGAAAATTTAATGTAAAGCCACATAAATATTTATGATACTCAAGTTGGCAGTAAACACAACAAGAAAATTTCAGCAATGAAGTTGTGAATGAAACTTCCAAATTTATTACATAACATTACCAGATAAAGAGAGAACAAGATTTCCATTTACATTCAGATTTCTTATTAATATTAAATAATTAGATTATGAACAATGTGGTTTTTGAACTTGTAAAGTTACTATAATAACATTACTGTGCAAGATGATTTTCCATTGCATATCAACACATAACTGGTATATAGTGACAACATTAAACAAAAATCACTATCCTGTCCTCAGACTAGCTGAGATTGCCAAGGATATCTTTTAACAATAATAAGGAAGATCTGAACCAATTCTTGTACAAATATAAATATCATTGTACCAGTAAAACTCAATGGAAAGAGTTCAGCAAAATTTCTTAACAATATGCATGTCAGCAATACTTTGTCTGAAGTTAAAAATCTTCTGTTACAGCAAATTTATATATTTTTCATAATCCTGTAATAATTGTTAACAAAACAAATTATCACAGTAGAGTTAAATATATTTGTCTAGGGTGCTGGTAGTTCATCAACCATGTGTTACAAATATATTGCAGGAGGTCAAAATGTGGAGCATGTGGTCAACTACCAGCATCTCAGGGCAAATCTGTTAGATTGTACCATGGTAAGAATAAAATATGTCTGAGAAACACTAAGCCTCTGATGGTAAGCCATTCATGAAGGCTAAGCAAACATGAGGACTAGGACATTCACCTAAAAAGTGTAAATGAACAAATGTGGTACAAATAAGTGAAAGGTCATAAGGAATCCATGTGCAAATAAGAAAGAATTTTCTAAATGAGTTTAAGATAATGATTGGAATTGGGACTATGGGACATTCTCAACAAATTAAGGAAAACGAAATGCAACTAAAGCATATACATGTATGAAGTGGGCCATATTTGTTGTTTTCACCCGTTTAAATTCTTACTATTCTATATTTTCAGTATTAAGTCCCATAGGTCTTACAAATGTTGACTGATTTTGACCAGTATTGAACTGATCTAAGTTACTAATGTAAAGCAATACAAACTCTGATTCAAGCCTGGCAATAAAACAAGTTATTTGCCAGAACAAAAAAAACAAATCTATAATTTTCATAAGTCCTATAACTCTAGCCAATCTTTACAGATTTTGACTAAATTGAAACTATCAAACATAATGATCTTATTGATATAAAACCATAAACCAAATTTGGATCAAATTTTACCTTAAAACTAAAAACTTATTTGGCAGAAACAATGAAACGATCTATTTCAATTTTTTAAAGTTTTGCAATTTGGGCAAATATAGATGGTTTCTGACCAATATCAAGCTCATGTAACATGATTTTGATAAAAAGCAAAGTGCCAGTAGAAATTAAAGTTATTTGACAAAAACAAACATATAATCTATTTCAAGGATATTCAAGTCCGATAACTAAAGCAAATGTTGATAGTTTGATCAACATCAAACTCATTCAAGATCTTATTGATAATTAGTAGTTTGTGAAATATAAGTAATTTGATTCAAATCGAACATACAATTCAATTTATTTGGTGGAAACCCTAAAACAAACAAGCAGATTTAAAACAATATGACCCCTGATCTTTGGTCTCAGGGGCATGAAAATCGAGACATATACAGCAATAACAAAATGCGTCTTACTCTTCTCCATCTTCAAAGTCACTGACAGCATTATCCATCCTTTGAAATATTTGTTGAACTAGAGGACAGCTCATTTCTGAAGAAAGCTTGTATCCATATGCTTTTTGCCAGTAATGCTATTTCAGAAAAGTTTAAGGAAAGCACAATGTGATATAAACATTTACTATTTATCTTGCAATGTTTTTCACATACTTAACAATTTAATTCTATTGATACTTTATTTCTCAATTAAAATCGAAGAATTAGGGCTATCAAAATTTCATATCAGGGCGAATTTCAAAATTTCATGTATAGACCTGGTATCATGAAATAGTGCTTTGAATTTTTATTTAAAATAAGAAATGAATTATACTTGTTTTCTTTCTATTTATGATTGATTTCCTGCATTCCTTAACAACAAATATATTCATGGAATTTGTCTCGAGTCCATTCATCTTCACTTACCTTTAAATCGTTTAAGTAATCTATAACTTCCATATCTTTTTGTTCAAAATATTGACACCAGTCTGACTTGCCATAGAATGCCAATTCAAAGGCACAAATCTGATGGATTGTTTGAACATCATCTGAAAGTATTTAATTTCAAAGGTGAGTTTTAGCACGCTCATAAAAAGAAATTAAGTATATCAACAAGAATTTGATCATGTTATTTTCTGTCCCATTTTACATTGTCAAATATTTTGTAAAAGCTAAAACCTTCAAAATAACCAAATAGCCCTGAAACTCAGACTTGTTCAAGATATTTTGGTGCTTTAAAATGTGTGTAATTTGATGAAAATCCCTTAAAAAGTAAAGCTGCTAGAACTCTGACAATGATATTCTACGAATAATACATTGTAACAGTAACATTGACCCAACAACCCTGAAACTCAAAATTTCAGAATATATCCTTATGCTTTCATAGTGTGCGAAGTTTGATGATAATCTCTCAGGGAGTGAAGCCACCACAGCACTGACAATGATTTTCTGAAAACAGTAACAATGACTTTGAACTTGACCCAACAACCCTTAAACTCAAACTTGTTTGAGATATTATGGTCAATAGTAAGAGTGTGAGGTTTACTTAAAATCCCACAAGGAATCAAGCCACTAGAACACCAACTATTTTCTAAAAATAGTCATGATAACCTTGATCGTGACCCAACAACAGTGAAACTCGAACTTGTCCAAGAAATTTTGATGCTTTACAAGTCTGTAAAGTTTGATGAGAATCCTTCAAAGAATGAAGCAACTAAAGTGCAGACAATTATTTTCTAAAAATAGTGATCTTGACCCAACAAGTCTGAAACTCTATCTTGCTCAAGATATTTCAATGCTTCATGACTGAGTTTGTGAAGTTTGATGAGAATTGATCAAGAAGTAAAACTGACACATCACTGACTAACTTTGGCATTAAACTTGTGTCTATCGAAAATAACTACTTTTTACTGCCATTCATTAAATAGGAAATAAATTTCTTCATATTTATGTCCGATAGTGATATATGATATAGACATGTCACATCTAATAAAATTTGTGATAAGAATACTTATAAAATATTGTCTAGAAGTGTTAGTATTTATCACAAATTTTATTATATATGGTAATTGCATCAACAATGCTGTATTTACTATTACTCACTGTTCATGCTGATACAAGTCTATTATCAGCATTACCCTCATGCAATTCAAGAAAATTAGACGTTGTGTACATAGAAAAAATCTTCCCTTTCTTTATTACCTGCGCTCAGTAGGTTTTCAGCATCCACACCGCTATCCAATATCCTTCCTGTAACATCACTTACAACACTTTTCAATTCTGGTCCATCTTTGAATTTGAAGTATTCTTCTAATGCAGTATCATTTTTTTCTATCTGGTCGATATATTTTTGACATCCAGCATGAAATCTTAGTGTGCTGTCGTCAAGAACTGGTAGGCTTAAGTTATGGTCATCGTCAATATCTGGATCAAATATCTTAGTTAATCCTTTATGGAACGCTTTCCTACTGTCAGAAGTGCGTTCTTTACTCGATACAAAATATTCTATTTTGTCGGTTTCTTCTTCAAAAAGTAATTTAAAACGTTGACTAAATCGCTCGCCAAGTGCAAAAAGTTCCGTCTCTCCCAAAGTAGCTAGTGCATGCTCTTTTTCATATGGAAATGGGTTTGCCCATTTCTCGATAAATGTTGATTTTGAATTTATTGCTGCTTTCGTCAATTTTTCATGAACTTCATCCATGCGTTTGATCCACTTCAAACCGGGATATCGAATGCCATGACGAATCAGAGAGTTGATGTGAAAACTGAAACAAGAATTTGCAGATTCGATTGTGTCCGTGCCTTCGTAAACAAATTCTGAATCTTCACGTATGACTTCATCACTACGTTTTACCCAAAAATACGGTGTCTTCGTGGAGAAGATAGGCGTGTTGGCAAATCTAATATCGCCGTAGGCATGCGATTCTAAAATGAAAATTATCCACATCAACAACAAAAGATGCAAACCGTGTAACAGCGCAGACGACATCTCTCCAACTTTCGAAATGATTACTGCCCTGAAGTAAGCCTAAATGCCGGTGATGATCATTCTAAACCGCAGAACCGCCCGGTATGGAGTGATAAAAGTGAACCGCGGTAAATTTCACCATTATGGTTTATAGTTCGTTTTCAATTGCTGAATCGTCAATAACTTTTTATAACTTTACTGAATTATGTTCCTCAATACATAATAAAACTAAAAAAAAAATAATAATAACAAGGGTGGGGGAACATAGGGTGGGGCAGGAGGGCTTTATGGTAGATCTACCATTGCCATGGTAAAGTGAAGCATTACACCATTTTCTTAGTAATTATTTTTTCATCGTTTCCCCCTAATCACCCTGGTTCAATCATATAAACACACAAATAACAAGAAATAAGTCTGGTGTGGGGGAAATATAGGGAGGGGTTCGCTTCACCATGGCCAGGTAAAGTCCAGCAATTCAATGTTTTCTTACTAATTAACTTTTTTTCATTTTTTATTTGTAATCATCCGGATTCATTCATACAAACACATAAATAACCACGGCCATGGTAAAGTGAACCATTACACTACAATGTATACCTATATATACCGAAGGGATAAAGAAACGCAGGGTGACATTAGTTGCAATATCTTGCGAACGCGTTGTTCAACAACAATGAAAATCGGTCAAGAATCTCTCTAGGTTACAGGTCCAATATTGAATGTTGCATTTGTGTATTGCTTGACGATGTCCTCCACGGAAAGCACGAAAACGGTAAAAGTCTCGTGCACAACAGCGTTGTGACATTGGGTTTCATTGCTCGTCATACATTAGGTAGTTCTCATAGCGACACGTTATTATCGGATATTTTGATAATTACTGATAGCATTAAACAATAGCACGGCTGACGGAAGTTCTGGGGAGTCAGGCCATTGTGATGAGTATGCAAGGTGAAAAGCAAATACAGGTTGTCAGAAATTTATGTGTCCATATTTGCACTATAGAATGTCTTGTTAAGCGTCTAAGGGAAATTGGGCGGGTTGCTGACAGATCTAAGTCTGGGCGTCCGCGCGTGATGTCACAACGTCAGGACAGGTTTATTCGTCTCGAGCATTTGCGCAATCGGCACCTTATTGCCACTGAATCTGCCCTTCAAAGGTACTTATAACCGCCATATCCATGCAAAACTGTACGAAAATGATTGCGGGAAGTTGGTCTACGAGCACGTCAACCGTTTGTAGGTCTGCCTCTTACCACTGCTCGTATGGCTTAGGTGGCGGCACATGCCCCCAGAATATTCCCATTGAGGCAGTGGAGGCGGGTCTTGTTTACCGAGTCCCGGTTCACAACCGTTTCGAGCAGACGTTCAACGCCGTGTATACCGACGTCGTGGAGAACGTTTTGCCGACTGCTGCGTAGTAGAGACGGATATGTATTGGGTGTGGATCGGTTATGGTGTGGGAAGGAATCTCGCATGGAGTTAAATCACCACTGGTTGGGTTAGCGGGTACTTTAACTGCCGCTAGGTATAGAAATGAGATCCTCCGACCCCATATTGTCCTATTATTGCAGCAAAACGACCTCACATTCCATCAGGATAATGCTCGGCCCCATGTAGTTGGGGTCTGTCGCAACTTTCTCACTAACAACAATATCCACTCACTGGACTGACCGCCCTGCAGTCCCGACCTATCCCCTAATCTTCATTCTTACTTAAAAATATTGAACATTACACTCAAAGTCTTGCCTAGAATCATCTTCAAAGTTTAACCTGCGTTTCTTTATCCCTTCAGCGTATGTACAAATCCAACTATACCACTGCAAGCCTGATAAAAGTGCTTTATAATTCAGCAACTTAATATTCAAAATCCATCCATATCTTATCAGTTAAAGGGGTATATCAAAAATCGACGAGTAAGTGTAGCATTGCCGACACAAAATAATCTTGGCATACTCAACGGCACGGTAGAACGTAATCAGCAGGGAACAAAATCAACTCTTTCACACTCTGATACTCCGAGAGCCAGATAATCTGAATAAGTGATATTTCTTTATAATAGACGAAATAAATAGCCAGAAGACATTAACTGCAAATTTGTTACAGGTTTCTGCACAAAAACGTACTTTGTAAAAAAAGGTTACTATATAGAAAAATGCGTGAGTTTAAATTGATCCAATACTTTTTAACGCCTTGCATTTGCTTTTTTTTTTTTAAACCAACACTGTATCCAAGTTGTCTAGGAATCCGATGTTATAGTCAACCCTGGCGCGAGATACAGGTAAACAGGCCACTCAGCCGCGATATGCTCATCCTCGAATATGAACTTGCTTCAATTAACCGGGTATTTTGATGACTTTTCATTATAGATACCATGGTGTATTATAATTATTTAGCACTGCTTTGTCATCAATCTTAACACGATTTGTTCTAAAACAGTTGCTAACACCATCACACTATCACAGCTACCTTTATGTACAATAAGTTTGCTTGTCGAGGCAACCTGACCAGAAATTTGATTTGTTTGTTGACGTCATACATGTACCTGATTAATTAGTAATTACACACTGTCATATGTGACGCGGGAATTTCTACTTTTGCTATTCACAGTAATAAACCCTGAAATGATAGTTTAACTTCTTTGCCCCAGTGTACGTATGGAAACATTAATCCGTAATTGTAAATTACAGCATATATATATATAAAGGTGACGAAGGACGTTTCACATTTGATATCAACATCAATATGTATATATTCTTACTTTATAGCCCCAGTGTAAAATTGGGTTAATTTCAATTAGTGATTGTAGGTTACAATGATATGTGACGAAGAACATTTTTACTTTCGTTATTCACAGTAGCATACCCTTGTGTGATAGTTTAAACTCCTTTGCCCCAGTGTACGAATGAAAATATTATTCAGTGATTGTAAATTACAGTGTATATATATATATGAGACGGATGTTTTTCTACCTTTGATATCTACAATAATATGTTTTGCTCTTAGTCCCTGTGTAAAAATGGATTGATTTTAAACATTTAAACTGTATTCGTTTGAAGAATTTAATGTCTCGTAAGTCAAGTAATTATGGCTGGATATTGATCGCTTTTACATATATTTCAAAACTGTGACATGTATTTTACTGGCGATCAACATGTGACATTTTAATAAACTATTATTAATATTATGAACAACATAAATAAATTTGGAGGCCATTGAACTTTCGGACCTTTGGACTATCGAACTTACGGACAATATGGGGGGTCATCCTTGTAGCTGACGAACCAAGGTATAACATATTATATTCATTCTTTCTTTCAGGAGAGTTTCTACTGCAAATCTGTCGTACATACCACACTGGTAGCAGTATAACAAAATTCACTTGAAATAATTGATAATTATCGTTTTGTCGTAGCGAAAAGACGATAATTAACAGGACGACATATTTTAATAATCGTTTTGTCGCGGCGAAAAGACAACAGTTAGCGAGGCAAATTATTTCACCCCGCGAATTAGCGACTTCACAATATCGTTATTTCGCATTGAATTATCTTGTCTTTGGTTAACCGAGGCGAAAAGACCAAAATTATCGTGTTGTCGGGGCGACAAAAGGAAACAACGAAATGGCAGAAAACGGCCACTATTGTGACGTCAGGGCTAGTACATTCCACACTGATAATTTGTCTGATTAATGATCGTTTTGTCGTCCCGCTTATCATCGTGTTTTCGTTGTGAGAAAACGCTATCATCTTGTCGAGCCGCTAATTGGTGATGTGCTCATGTTTTGTATTGTAACAACTCCGTACCGGTGGCACCAAGTTTTTTTTATCATGTGACCTTGGCTTTACCTTTGACCTACATTTGAACAGTTTTAACATTGGCAATAGCTATTGCACCAAAAGTGGTAGGACTTTCATATTTGGCTTTTTTGTTCCTTGTAATAAGACCAAAAATTTGACCATGTGACCTTGACCTCTGACCTACATTTGAATGATAAAAAATCATGACCACAATGAAGACATAAATATCCCACAAAGTGTGCATGAAATTAGCACATGCCTTACACAGTACAGTTTTGATGTCTCATTTCAGAATTTTGTTGCAATCGGGGGCATAATGTTTCATAAACACATCCTGTTTCTCCAGAAACCCGCTCTAGACCATCGCACTCACTTCATTTGTAACTTCAATTTTTCCATGAAATGTCAGGGTGAATGAGAGAGAGGTCGTTAATCCTGGAATATGGAGGATGATAAAAATAAATGGTGCCCATACATGATGACCCTCCAAAAAGTAATGATAAAATTAACATCACTGAAGTATCTAACGAATTCATTTTCTACTGTAGTAATAGGACACCATGTAAAAACAACACTAACAAGAGTCCCTTGGAGCCAGTATCACTCATCTGGTTTAGTTTGCTGAAATTGATTAAACTGAAGAAAACATGTTTAAATCATGTGTATCTTTTTCCACTATTAGGTCCCACTCTTCTGCCCAAAGGGGGTTAGATGCATAGTTTATTAAAAAAAAAACTAAGTTCTTTTCAGTGTTATGTGTAGATGATGCATATCTCCTCCTAGATGGTTCAAGTCATGTTAGAAGATTCTGTCGACATGTCAGGGTTAAAAGTAAATCAAGTCTACATTTGATTGAATATCAGAAATTTTCAGAAGAATTAATATGTCGTGTTTATGCTTAAAATTGTCAACATATAACTTACAACTACCAGGACTTATCTTCTCACTTAATATAAATGATACAGAAATGCTGAATTTTTATAATAAATTACAACAAATAAAAAAAGTTTTCAGATTCTGGTTGGGTTGGGGCCAAACCATAGCAGGCCGAATAACTATTTTTAAAAATCTCATCATACTAAAATTTGTACATTTATTTACTAGTTTACCAAACCCTTCACACATGTTTATCAATAAATTCAATAGAGTATTTACAATCTTATATGGAATGAAAAGTAAAAAAAATAAGCTTGACATTTTATTGCAGGCATAGAAGGAGGAGGAT